ATATATAAAAAGGAAAAATATTTACAATTGCATAAAAATCCGCACTTTGATTATAATAATTAAGGGCTTAAAAATATATATGATTGATATTTGTTATGTATTTTCTTCTCTACTGATCGTTCCAATAAAAGGGTCAAAAAGCTAAACCACTCTGAAATTATACATAATATTATTACTTATTAGTGCAAGCTTCATCAGTTCACCACCAATCGTCGTCTGAATATTATCACTACCTCACTTGATTCCAAACCTCGAATTTTGTCGTGTCTCCTAGCCTTTTAGTTATCACTACCTACTTTAAGTACATGCTTCAGAGGTTTTTAATTCTCGTTCCACTGTCCATTCACAACGCACATGTATTTTTGTATGTCTATATTTCCGTTGAAATATTTTAAAACAAATTTTTGAACAAAACTATTGTACAATTATGTACTATTACTTCATAATGTGTACCTATGTGATTTGCATGTAATAAAATATTATAAATATGCCCCCGTAATTTTTTGAATTTTAATATTATAATACGAGTATAACCATCGCAATACAAAACTATCGTTTGAAAAGCACTGTTTTGAAACAAAGTATTACGTCTAAGGATAACTGTACAATTGTACAACATTTTAATCGGGTGTGTTTATAATTTATAATTTTTCCAATCATTCGACTGACCACTAACGTAATACGACATTTCCACTTATGCCCACTCTGTAGTATGCCTTTTGAATTTCTAAACGTAGGTAAGCATACATCCTGCAAGAACCAAGGCAAACCTGACTATTTCACGATCGATTAAATATCAGGTCCAATAAATCCCAATAGCGTTATTGGCTTTCAAACACCAGTTGCCTGCAAGACAAAATTCTCAAAATATATACCTAAAGTTTATACTTTTAATCAAACCAATTTTTCTTATCGTGTCAAAAATATATTCAATGATGGCGACGGAAAATAAATGTAGTTTCTATTGCTACCAGGATGGCAGGACCCAGGATAAACACATTTTATATTCATTAAAACCGCCTATAGAATACAACTATTATTATTCGTACCATACACATTCGGATTAATAACTTTATAAGGTCTATTTGATGAGTTTCTGTTGCACGAACGCATTAATAAAATTAAAATTAATTTCTTGATTACCATGGTTTGGTTTGAGTTAAGTTTCTATTGTATTTAATTTTGTATCCACTACATTAGCTATTTACTTATTTAATATTCACATATTTACTTGATGTTTACTTTCATAATTTCAAAAAGCTTTTAAATATGAATGTGTCATAAAAATTATAAAATATATATCTACATTAGGGCTTTGGTTATCTGTTTGCAACCCGGGTAACCACAAGGGTAGGTAAAAGAAAAACTAATACAAATAATGAATCCACAACAACGTTATGCCGATTGATAACGTTAAAGTTTAAAAGTTATACGTATATACAGTAACTATAACAGAAGTTTATGGATAATCGAGGTTTTATTGTAGTTATAATTGAGAACTTATATAGGTAACTAAAATTATAAAAATTTTAAAAAACAGTAGAGTTAAATATCAAAATTACGTTTGTGCAACTGACAACATTTTCATCAAAACCATTAATTATTAGTTATATTTTGTTCTTTGAGCTTTGTGCAACAGGCCATAATATTATATATATGAAATATTATAACGTATACGATATTATTGTGAGCTTTGATCCGGTTGTCGGCACAACTGTATTAATACTAACTTATATTGAGTAATAAAAAAAACATTAGGTCTTAATGAAATGTATGTACCTGTATAATATTGTCTAATTTATAAGTAAATACACCTTCATAATATTTACGGTCAGTTCTTACATCATTGTTATTTGTTTATGCTGTGACAAACATGAAATTTGAACTCACAATTATTATTTGCATCGGACCGTATAACACGCATTACTTAACGATAAACGGTTGCGTTTGTTCATCGATATTTTATTGTTACACATCATTATGAGCATAATTTATATTAACACGTCTACGATTGTTGACTCTATGCCAAATGATCAAGGTCTGTAGATAAAATATATGACCAAACACAACAAATATCTTCTCTGAAAAAAGTTGACGTAGTAGGTAAATCGACGATAAATATAATTATTTTTAATTTGAACATTGCAGTTAATGGTAGGGCTATTCGATTATTTTTTTTTTACCACTCGATTATTCATTTCACGTTTTAATCGATTATTGAGCGATTTATCGCATTTCATAAAATCTGTAAAATAATTGATGAAAATAAATAATCGAATATGATTCCTACAGGTTTCTTCCTGCATATCACCTAGATACCTATACTATTTTTCATACAACAATCATTATTGATACAGACGTTACGAGATAAAGAGTATTAATTAAAAAAAAATTCACCTAGTTCACTATTAGTACATTATGAATGTATCATAAATGATGGTATAAAAAATATGAAATACAAAAACTTTATATAGGTTAATTTATTGAATGTTTGTTATGCAACTTTTGTTGTTTATAATACTATAATATAATACTATTGAGACAATACTGTACCAACAAGCATTGCACGTTTATTGAAGAAAAGTTTTGTTTATTTCTGTATGATAGTTTAGATGATAAATTATCAAAATTATAAAATAGCAATAGGTTTATTACACTATTACGTATGTTATTGGTTTTTTACATCATAAAAAGCCAACATATTCGTATTAATATTATATTTTATACCTGTTTTGTTCATATTATATTATGTCTACAAAATAATCGTATTAAACATTTGAGTCTGTGGTTGACGCACATGAAAACTATTATAAATAGGTACCAATCAAAATGTCAAACTTAGGAGAATTTACTAATTTAAAATGTCGGGGTAATTTGTATTTATTAACCATAATTGTATATCAGTTAGTATTTTATTCGTTGCATACAACCTCACACAGTCACACTTAGAATAAATCAAACGTTTGATGATTTGTTTTTAAAATATTATGTTACATTCTTTATACATTCTACATAATAGTTATTAGTTTATGGTCCAAGTACCAAGGTGAAATATCAGGAATATAAGGATTTATTATAAACTATTATATATTATACTATTACATATTATAGATATTATAACCTACCATATTTTCATGATTTTCACGATTTTCATATGGCATTATATTCTGATACTTATTGTGCTTAAAAATCCATTCTCTGATTATAATATTATATTGTCCAGATCATTATTATATAAATAAAGTAATAGGTATCAGACAAATAAAAACTGGTGGTTATAGGCTATTTCAAGGGTGTTAATATAATACCTAATGTTTTGATATTATAGACTATATTTTAATTATAATTTAATTACAATTCAGGTAATAGGTATAAATAAAATAAAAGGAAAATAATTGAATCGCAACAAATAAAAATTTCTAAGAAGAAATGACAGATTTTTAATACATTTTTAATGATAATCTTTTAGGTCCATGCATTAGGTATTGCCTCTATTGGGTCTGAGTTCTGTTTATTTAAACTGTGATTAAATCTATTCTTGATAGTACTGCACTAGTTCAGTCTGCATACGTAAATGCATTTATTCAATATTTCGGATAATATATGTATTAAACTTATTGTATAGATAATAGGTTCATAAAGAGTAAGTCGAAACTTAATATTTTGACATTACATTATTTAAACTAAACTTTTCTCGGAATTCCTTTTTCGGATGCAAAGTCCAAAAATCATGATATATGTGACTCAAATTGTATATAATACCTATTAACTAAAATTAAACAAATATTTTAAACAATTGATTTAAATTTAATAGTTTTTTTTCTATTCTGTTGAGGTTTAAAATATTGAACTCTAAATTAATTTTTTTTTTATTTCAATAAGGAAAAACTAGGTATATAATATAATATAATATGATATACGTATATTGTAATGAATATAGTAGTTACCTACGTCCTACATATAAATATCACCTAATATTATACATTTAAGGTTTATTCATGAAGTCTAAAGTATATGACTATTTTAGGAAGTACGGTGTTTCTATAATAGCAAACTTGTACCTATTCAATATGACTTAATAAAGGATTTAATATTAATAGGACGGATACCAAACAAAAAACATTAATCCTATTATGGTTCTATCGTTATTATAAAAATAAAAAATAATATTAATTTGTCACGTTTTAATGTTTTGCGTTTTACAAATTGAGTATTGTTTTACTCACCACCCATAATAAGTATAGGTACATTTTTTTAATACTAAATTATATACAAATTTTACTCATATAAAGATGCTTGTGTTATTATGGTATATATGCATTGTATCTCTTTCATGTGGTACAGGCAGAGTTCAAAGTGCTAAAATATAATTAATTTAACTGTTGCAGAATTACGCAGTGCTCACAATCTTAAAATATGTATTTTAAAATTACGATGTTTTGGTTTATGTTAAATATATTTTTAATGATTTCCGCTATTTCACAGGTAAGTAATTGATAATAATAAGTTCTTGCATTAGTTAAACATGAATAATCGGAAAGGATTTTTTCCTATTAAATCATTCTTAAATATAAAAAAGATTAAATTATTTAATGATCCATAAAAACAAACAAGACGTATGAGGTAGTATTTCGATAAGAGTAATTTATTAGTTAGATTATAAATTCAATATATAGAACATGAGGTTAAGGAAAAAATTCCTGAAATTATATTATTTTATTTTTATTTGCGTTTGAAGTAAAAATTTTAACAAAAATATGCGGCACAAATACTAAAATTGTCAAATCATTATGAAGTTAAAAATGCAGTCAGTTTTCAATTTTAAACATTATAAGGATTGAATATGTAATACATTGTCTCCGTCTCACAAATGTACAACAAAGCAAATTTCTATTCAGCTGTTCTAATTTTGCTGTGTTAGCTTCAATTTAGAGCAAATTAATACCTATTATCAAATATCAAGGCAAACATCAACTGCTTTCTGTCGTTAGGTTTTTAAGACGTTTTAATTTTTAAACTAATTAAGAGTATGTAAAAATACTAATAACTGATTTAAAAAATATAATATTGTTAAAAAACCTACTACAAAACACAGTTATTCTTTCCCCTAATTATGATAGTAGGTCAATGAACTCTATTACAGCTAATAACACTACATTTTCTTAAATTTCCTTAAAGCCTACTGCACCAAAAGTATAAACCAACCAGGTTTTTCATTAAATTTGAGGATTTTTATTACATTTCATAACAAGCAAACAATAGATGAAATTAGAACATGAAAAAAGTTATACCTAATAATAAATTGATATTACTAATTTTTATTATTATTTAATAAATAATATTCAGTGTAGATACCTACAGTGTACATACTATAATATATTATAAATATTCAATAAAAGTAATTAAAACAAACACTGACTGTACAATTTGATATTTAAAATTAATATATATTTTGAGACATATTATTAACTTAGTAATATATTTATGATTTATGTATACATATAATAAAAATATATATACTATATAAAAAATATAATATCTTAATATTTTATGATATAGGTATTTATATTGCTATTATAGTAATTTATATTTATTTTACTATTATAGTAATTTGGTAGGCGTTATACGGTATAGTTAGTCTAAAAATTATTTAAAATATTTAGAAAATGTCATTGGCTTAGTAAATTATAATAGTATAAGTAAAGGTTTAAATATAATTTTGAATTACAAAAAAATGACTAAAGTGGGTAGTCTTCGTTTATATATTTAATTTCGTACAAATTAGAACTTAAAATGTCTCTAATAATATATCATATACCTATGTATCAATTTTTAATATTTTTAAATATCTATAATAACAATCCTATATGTGGAACCATGTATTACATTTTCAAGCTATTTGATCATGAGACAAATTGCTTTTAGACATAATATATCGATAAAGACTAAAAAAAAATCGAAAATATTAAATGTCTTTAAATAAAGCTCAAAAGGAATCAAAATACTTTGAATATTTCCATTTTCCATGTATAAGAAAATATGGTGATAAAAAAATGTTTCGAAAATATTTAGTATTCTGGTATTTTTGAATTAAAACATATAATAAATATGAAAAATCGATGTTAACTGTTTTTGTGTGAAAATTTTCGTTTTTAGTAGAAAACACCCTCAAAGTTTAAGATCGAAGACTTTTTCTACTATCGTAATGCAAACTAAAGTAAAAAAAAACACACCCACCATTCTTTATGTAAAATCATTAATCAATAGGTACCTACATTCTAAGTTTATAATCTTAAATAATAAACTTCATTGTTATTTACATTTTTAAGGTACGCGGATCAAATAAAAATTCAACAAAAAAGTCAAATAGTCTTCACCAAGCGAAAAATGAACCGAGTGTATTGATGCTAAAGGATGGTAAGGGTAATACGTACAAGTATATTTATCCAAATGATATGGACCAATTTTCTAAGATGAGTACTCTCGGTAATAAAAATTCTTCTACGGTGATACACTTACCACCGGGAATATTGAAATCTGAAAACGCTTCTTGTGATACAAGTGATAGTCCTGTAGATCATCCAATCGGAACGATATTAAGTTCTACATTGCATGAGGGACCGCTGGACACTAACCCAAAAAATTCAATCACTGAACATAAACAATCTTCACCTGGCTCTAAGGTTGTTCCTATAGTGGATATTTTATTTCCGAAGACCCCAGGAGGAGAACCGTGCGAAGAAGAAAATACTGCCGTTTCCATAAATGAAAACGAATCAACTGATGAGACTACAACCATAAAAGATTGTAAAACAGAAAAAGAAGAGGATGGGAATGGTGCAGATGGCAGTACAGACATAAAATCAATCTATGATGGTAAAAATTATGCGAAAGATATTTCAAATAATGCCAAAATATTATCTCAAATAAATAATGTAAAATACGAGAGCTCAAACAATCAACAGAATTCGCAAAAACCGTGTGACGCCCGTAACGACTTAATATTATTGGTTGAAAATGATATTAAATTAAAATTTTTTTTAAAATCAAACGGAAGAATGGATAAATTGTCTCTTTTGAACAACAGAAAAAATTCAACGATAAACCCAAAGAACGAACTTTCCTCCGACGATGACGTCATAGCGAATATATCTGAGTAGGTGTTGGAGAATGATAAAACATTTCATTGAAACACTGATAGCAAACTTTCATTACGTATTATCATTTTAAGTGTAACAAAAAATTTTAAATCAAAATGTAGCGTTATGTTCAAAAATTAACAAAAAAAAAAAGCATTATGTATCGATAAAATGTATTGTACCTGTATATGTGTAATATAATATTAAGAATTATTTGAATGTAAAATGCTGTAGTCGGTATATTATATATTATTAAATTTAATGGGTATTTTTTTAGAATCAATAAAAAATTATAATATATTATTTATATAATTATTTATTTCCTAATGAGTTATCTCTTATTTGTAACATAAAACGTATTCGTATCCGTAGTACGTATATTGTTTAAGATTGTTCCTAAGTAAATAAAAAAAATATTTAAATACATAAACTGTATAATATATTTACTATGAATTCAGTTTTGGTGTTCAGACCGAGGGGTCGTTATCTGAGGCCTGTGAACAAATGCCAGGGATAGTATTAATATTATGTATTTTTACTATTTTTCAAAGGTAAATTTTTAAGCGTATACAGCAATGAAACGTTATAGCTATCGAAACGGTAAAATAATTGTTTTTAAGCTCACAGTGAATTACATCATTTAAAATATAACCAAATAAAAGTGAAGAAAAAACGGTAAAATATTTCATACAAAATATTGCTTATAAAATTAAATCTTAATTTGTAATTTAAAAATTAAAATTGTATGTTTAAAAATTTAAAATTCTATTAGGTAAATGTTATAAGTTTATAATAATAAAAAAAAACAGGTAATTCGGTATGTCATCGTTCTACTATATAGAAGTTTTCGTCAGTCGTTATTGGATAGGTCGCTGCAATAATGGATGGGTTAATCTTAAACGAAAACAGTAATTCTGAGCAGATACGGTGACCTAAACCTAACCTTACCTAAGATATCTAATATTATATCTATAAAATAAAATATATCTAAAAGAGCCAAAATATTTTCAAATTATTTCATCTCTTAATGTTAGCATTAATATTTGGTGAAAACCTAAATTAAATACTATCCTTAATTTTGGAATTTTAATAAAATAACAAAATAAAATCGATTTTTTCAAATATTGTTATTGAGAAGATATTCCAGTGTTCTGTATTTTTTTTTAATTATTCCTAGTTATACCGAAAAGTACCTACAGGTTTGACTCCCATCCCAAGTACCAACTAAGTCCAATTGTCTACCAGAAAACACCCTCAAAGGGGAAGGATTAAGGAAGATTGAATCATTTGTATAAAAATAATAGTATACTGATCCAAAAGGTGATGAGCGATGATAGACACAAAAATAAGTAATTCAATTCTGCTCAGAATTTAAAACGGTATCTAACAAGGACATGACAAACAAAATAGTTACACGGTCAAACACGGGTTATAAAATAAAAATGTATAAAAAAATTATGTATTTTATACTTAGTCCTTGATATTTTTATTTAAAAAATCAATTATACTATTCGATACTCGTTTAATCGTTGTAATCACTTATTATTTTTATTTTTATACTCAATAAAAAAATAAAAAACAATGAAACTATAATATTATATTACCTATTGATTGTGTTGTAAATTCGTGATAAATAACTGAAATTAATACTTTACGTCGAAATATCATACAATAACAAAGTTTTCGTAACGCACATAATTTTATCGGCGATCAATAAAAAATACAAAATAAAAAAATACTCGTATTTATGAGATTTATTTTGATACAACTATATAGAAGACAAAATTAGATTATGGTAATATTTAGCAGCGAACGAGATAATATATTATGTCATATATAATTTATTATATTCTATAGACACATAAGACACGTATTCACATGCGATATTGATAGACGCTATATTTACACAAAGTGTATAATATACATTATTTTGTGATTGAGCTTTCGTCGACAGCACTAAAATGCAAAAAAATTTAAGTCAAGTAGAATTATCATTAGTTGGCTCGTTTAAAACCAAACTATTGCGTCCAATCTACATATTAATCTATGAAGGTATTACATAATATGAAACATAAATACACATAATATATATATATATATATGCAACATGTCTTCGTATCGGTTAAGGAAGCGTTTATATAGAAACACGTAATTGATTGTACATAATATGGCGCTTCGCTTTGACAAGATATAAAATGCATGTAAACTGTGTCCACTATGAATAGACTTTAGGATATCCATGTACAATAGTAGTTCTAAGAACAGTACAAGACAGCCCACACTTCAGTGTGAATCGTGTTGCTATATTGAGTCCAGCAGTTATTTGAAGTTTTGAAATAATATATTGAAATTCCACGAAATCATGATATTTCACTTGATAATACTGACGACCACGTCATTATTTTCGCAAGTAAGTGTACAATTATTTCTTATATTATATTTATTTCGTACAAAACATATTAGGTATATAGGTAAAATGGTACAGATCGTACATCTATAAAGTCATATAAACCTAACCCATCATTACAAAGAGAACTAGGTATCCTTAAGATGAGATATTATTTTACAAGTTTTTGATAGTATTATTTTCACGTACCTACTACCTACTGTACTCCTAGTAATAGTAGTTAAACCATATAATATGATTAAATATCGTATGTTAAAAAGTTCCTATTTCGGCTATAAGGGTTACATTTTATAAAAAGTTATAATAATTGATTAATATTATATTTTAATCTAATAAAAAAGTCGGTATAGAATTGTTCGCAGTTATTCAAAACAAGCGAACTCTACATTCTTTAATTTGTTTAAATATACCTACTTAAAATAAAAGAATATAATTATTGCTTAGCTTTTAATTAAAAATGAGTAACCCTTAATGTCAATTATTTGATAATAATGTTTACTGTTTAGATATTATAATGTATTATATCTCATGGAATAATTAATTTGTATATTAATTTTCTGAAACCTGAGTTACTTGGTACCTGGGTGAATATATTAAATTTTGATTGTTTGATAATCATAGATTAGGTATATGAGTTTTAATATGATTCTAAATGTTAAATTATCATAAATAAGTAATAAATAATACAATCATAATTTAAAAACATTAAATCCATTTTTAAATATTACAATATTTAAGATACCTATATAGAATACTACCTGTAAACGTTTTAGGGAAAATAATGAAATATGAACAGCACAATTTAATGTATTTTGCATAACATGTGGTCGAAACAGTCGAAATGAGCAGATGGCATTATACCTAATAGTGGTAATAACATGATTTTGCATACTTCAATTTTATATTGCAGGTGAAATGCAGGACTTACGTTCCGGAAAAATATTTTGTGGATCATAATCTGAATCGTCGACAGACAAACAATCCTGGGTACAATCCTACAGAACAGCGACAAATAGTATTCGTTGACAAAGGACAATACCCAAATGGATGGAATGAAAATATTATGAAAGGATATTATCGTTCGCCAATAATATTTTCAGACAAAGGGCCAGTAACAATTAACTACAGAGGTATTCACAGCGGTCCGAAACAACCACCGGACGGATATAAAAACTCCTGTCCAATAGTAATTTCGTCTCAAGGTAAGGTTACGGTGAACTACGACGACAGTCAGGACGACGTAGCGCCGCCAAGTAACCAGGACATTTGCCAGTTGACCAACACCATGGTCGAGCTTCCGAGTGGTATAGTTCTGCCATATATGAAATTCAAGACCATCAGTCCTTATCTGCTAGCTGAAGACCAAAAATCGGATATCCTAGTTATACTTGGCAACAAAAACATGACGTACAAACAGTTCCAAGAAACTTTGCGGCATTACGGTTGCGGTGATCTAGAGGACTCGCCGAGACCGTCGGAAATCGGCTCGACCGACTACGTCACGTTGGCCAACGGTACGCTGAAAGCGGAAATGGACGACTACCGAAACATAGTGAGCAGCTTAACTTCGGGATCGGAAACGTTAATGGTGCCTAACGTCGTTAGCGGAAAGTATTCGGTGTACCGTTCTCTCATAGCGGACGAATTGCCGGAGTTGAGAGATTCGGCATTTGTCATCACGCACGAAGGAATCGTAGTGCCGTTTTCGTTGTACTACGCCGTGGACAGAGAACATTTCCAAAGGCCGCCGACGGCTGCAGTTGTTCCCTGCAAGGTTCAGCAGATCAAATGGGGCGACGGAAAACTAGTGGACGTGCAGACAGTGAGACACGTGATCGACGCCCTTAGGACTCCGACGATGATCAGCTTCGTTTTCCCGAATGGGAAACGCATGCCGTTCGTCCGGTGTAGCTTGAAAGAGCCAACCGACTCATACGATTTCGATCCGGAAAAAGTGATGGTGGACGTGGGCCAGTGCAAAAACGTTCTATTGTCACATTTCAACGACATCCTTAAGGCTGTGCATATTCCTGACGACGACTGTAAGAACAAACGGTTTAATAATCCTGTAGTGTTCGCGTTGGATCCAAAGTGTCTGAATACGACCGATATTTATAATGTGACGGGCCCCGTGAATCCCCAAACTAATAATAATTGCACGAATATTTTAAAAGCTTACACCGAATGCAATTGCAAACAAATTTTAAAAACTAATGAAACAAAAAGTATGATTAACATTAAAAATACGCCAACTGACGATTCAAAGAATCCACCGTGTTCGAATGAATCGACAAAAAATCAAACTGTTACTGGATGCAACGAAAACCTTACAACGAATGATAATAAAAACCAAACAACAGATACTGTAATTACAACTATAGTTACCCAGAACAACACAGAACTTGTGAATACCACTAGCAACCCAAGTATATGTGGAAAAATGGACAACATAACTACTATAGAGTCCAAAAATAATGCTACTGAAAACCCAGACTGTACAGAAATATATATTAAAAATGAACAAAATAGTTCTAGTCCAATTACTGAAGGCAATAAAATGCCTATAGTTAAAAGCAACAATGACCAAACTGAAACTAAGAACACAATGGTAAGTCCACCAAACCTTACGTCAAAAAATACGACCAATTCAAATACTACCACTACTATCAACCCTAACCAGGCAACAATGACTTCAACTCACCAAAATTCTTCTAATCCAGTTTCTGGATACAAAGAAGAACCTACAATGAACGACAACAATCAATACCAAACAGAAACTAAAAACACAACAACAATTCCAAACTTTGTGAATAATACCAGTAGTTCAAATATTACGAACCCAAATAAAAAATATGAACCCAACAGCACTAGCAACAGTTCTGTAACTACGGAAACTAGAAATAATACTACTAACGATCAAAATAATTACCAAAACAGTTCTAATCCAGTTATTGAAGGCAAAACAATCCCTATAACGACTGCAGGCAACAATAACCAAACTGAAACTAAGGATACGACTATTATAAGTGCACCGAATATTACTGAAAATACGACTGGTCCGAATAATACTAATACAGATAAAATATATGCACATAATGAAACCAGCAACAATGCCGTAACTACGGAAATTAGAAATAATAATACTACTGATCCAACCCTTACTGCAGTAGTACCGGATAATCGTCAAAACGATTCTAATCCAGTGAATAGAACTAATGAAATACCAGCAGTAACCAATGGCAACCATTACCAAAATTCAACAGAAACTATAAACACAACAGCAAGTACGCCGGATTCAACGGAAAATACGAAGGTCGGGTCAAATGAGGGCAGAAAAGACAATGATACTTATACCGGAAGTAATGAAACCCCCAGTGTCAACAATACCGCAGAAACGATACAGACTTCTGGCGCTACCAGAGCATCCGACGGTGCAGATGACGTAGGACCTATGGAAAATGGCGAAAAAATTCCCGAAACGAATACCACTGGAATCGACGATGAAACGCCAGATATCGCATACAACAGCACAATGACTGGGAAGAAGGAAACAAATCAACCCACTCCAATCTATACTGAAACCATTAAAAGTCCTAACAACAATTCCGTGACGAATAACGCTACAAAAATCATAAACATAGTCGTGTACTGACTCCTATTCAGGCGAATTATACAAACAATTATAAATTATATGCTAATACAGTACCTAGCTAATACGCGCAACCGTCGCAAATAACGTTCAGTAAAATATAATTATTAATCTATGATTTTATTTCGGATATTGCTGGTCAAATTGTAATAATATTATTATGTATTTTTTCTATTTTCTGCATTTAGACGCTGCAGTTATCCGTTGACAAAATCCCTGACTTAATAATTCACTAAATGCACTTGTGCATATTCCACTAATAATATAATAATAATGCAGATATTCCTATCTGCAGTGTGCAATAATTAATAACTACCTAAATTATATTATACACCTGCCACGTTTAATCCAGTAATATTAGTATAGTAGTTGTAATGTGAATAATATGTAATGATATTTTGTGATTAAGTTATTATAATTGGTATGTACCTGTAGTAAAATAAATTATATTATTTCGTTTATTATATATTATACTTTCTGTTGCACAGTGTTTATGAGACACGAAAAAGGTATACCCAAAACAAAACAAGGAAATCTCTACGAAGGTTATTGACGTTTGACATACCTATGCGTATAACGTTTTCGCGAGCGTTCGTTGAATATTTTATAAACATTACACTTTTTTTAATTAAAAAAGGTGTTGACTTCAGGTGACCGACAAAAGTTTTATACTGAAGAAAATAATAATATGTATAGTTGACGTTTGAATAACCTGTTATATCACAGATGTGACATGACGTGAATAATCATGAAAGTGTACATGATGTTCGCACTCTGCGCCCTGACGATGTCTTGTTTGCCCGTGAGTACCTACTACCTACTACATTATAATAATATTATGTATAGGGTTCGGATGTTCGAATGACTTTTGCAATTTTTTTGGAATATCGTAGACAACGCTTGCCTAGCTCAAAATGTGTTTCAGTAACATACATATACGAGGCTATATACAACTGATTTTTATTTTGCATTTTTGGTGTTTTTTTTTTGTTTTTAGGTAATTTATCTGACTTTTAAGGTAATTTTTTAATATAATTTTAAGGGTGTTTTTACTTTATTTTAACAGTTAAGAGAAAAATGATGAGTTAATTATTTGTCATTATGACATTATTATATTTTTATATGTTCCACAAATCGAAAAAAAAATCACAATTTTACTTTTATAAGCTATAATTTTAAATTTTAAAATCAATAAATAATTGTATTAACTTTAACAGTTTTATGAGTGATTTTTAAGCAGTATTTAGGTTATTAACATTCAACAATTAATAGGTAGTGTATTTTTGTGGGTTTTATGTCATAAATACATATTTTTTTGGGAAAAGTTTATAGGTCTTTTAGCGCATCAACATCCAGGCATTAATTATGGCAATAATCATATTTGCGTATCCATTAGTTTCCAATCAATTCGATAAAAACGGTACCTACCGTGTGCAGTATTGCTTAGAGTAGACATAGTTTTTTTTTTTAAATGTTAAAATGACAGTACCAGTAAACTTTATAATTTCTATACAATACTAAATATACTAAAATATGTTTGTACACTGCATAAACATAAGCAAGGTGGGTAGTATGATGCATACTAGCATACTATATCTAGTATCTATATATATAATAATATAATGTAGGTCAAATAACTGTTGTCCTATATATAATAGTATATTATACTGAAATCTGTATACACAACAGTTTTTCCATATTAAAAGACAAAATTCAAAAATTAGAATCAAAATTTAGGGTCTGGTGACTTAGTGCTAGCCGCTACTCGTTAGGTATTATATACTTCATATTATATTATTAATTAGATAGGTACTGGGGTACTGCTACGGATTTTCTGGTTTCAATTTAAATTATTAAAACTCATTGAAAATTGATCGTAACGATTCTCGACTACTTTCCAACAATAATTCAATGATAAGTATATAATACGGGTAATGACCAAGATGATTCATTGTTTCAAAGTCCACTTCATGTGCCAATGTACCATACACGCGTGGATTGGCTGTAAACATTGAAAACCCATATAGTATAATATTAAATACATGTTATATTATATAATGCATTTTATTGGCAAATGTACAGTCACCTCCAAAATGGTCGAAAATAAAATTATAATACACTATACCTATTGTTAATTTTAAAATTTAAATATTTGGTGTTTGTTTTTAGTATGGTGAAATCCAGTAAAAAGTAATTTATTAAGTAGATAAAAGTTTGAATTTAAAAATATGTTGTGTTTAAAATCTACATATTTTTGCAAAATATTTAAACAGTTGCAAAAATAAATCCTAAAAACTGACAAAACGTTTACGAAATGCAGTATATTATATTCATATTAATAAATGTCCTATACATATTATATTATTATATACCAGAATATAATATTCATCAATTCTCCGTTCAAACCTACTTGAATTTGCAATTACTATACACGTTATATGCAGTGGCGTAAACTGGGTGGTGCAAATGCAGCACTTGCACCACCACATCTAAAATGTGGTGGTGCAAAGGTATGTTTTTGCACCACCAGAAAATCATTGAAATATATAATAGGTATATAAAAAGATACAAAATAGTTATTTTAGTGCATGTATTAGACATTATCATTTAAATTTTAAATTATTACCCTATCTATATTCTAAAATATCGTACAACCCCCATAAATAGTTAGATTATTATCTATGGTAATTGGTAACCACTATCCACAGAATTTTGTATTTTATTATGGCAGTATCACAGAATCACGATTAAAGATATTATATCTTTAATCGTGCACAGAATAGACGTATAATATGGTAAAATTATATTGCTATCAACATTCTACCGCCCAAATAGTGTGTTATTACTGGATCAATGTTCATTCAATTCTCAAAAGTCAAATGTCAGATGACAGCTAGACGTCGTATTGAATCAAATTTTAAAATTCTCTACAGGTTTCATAAGCGCCAGGAAAAACAACATAAAAATTAAGGAAAAACAGGAATTTTTACCCGAAATCGGTTTTCGACAAAATCGATTTTGGTTTTTGACCAAACAAATGAACATATACATATATAATTAAAATATTCACTGGTTGGGTAAAAAAGCTTGGAAATTTAATACAAGGCTTCAACTATATTGTTACAATGACATTAGAAAATTATTAAAAATATTTAGTCCCAGTTTTTTTTATAAGCATTTAAAGTTCAAATCTTGACAAAATACAGAAAAATCACGAAAATTAACAATATAATATGAGTTGAAAAAATCATAAAAATGTTTCTTTTTAAATTTAAGATTTTAAAATGTAATACAAGATTATTCATAAGTTTGTATACGCCTTTATCAAAAAAAAAATGTCCACAAGTAAATCAAATTAAATTTTTATGAGCATTTGAAAATCATATTTTTACAAGATTGGATATTCACTAGATTTCTCATGTACCGATTTTGTTAATTTGTTGTTATTCAAACAAATAACTGTAAATACATGAAAATTATTTATTTATATATTTATATTTTAATTTTCTATACACCACAAAGTTTTGAAAATATTTTAACTCTCTTTGAGCTGTTTCCGGACATTGTCATTTTTTAATTTTTTTAGTTTTTTTTTTCTATAAATATCAATAAAATTTTATTTGTTGGGTAAAAAGCGTGAAAATTTAATGGAAGGCTCCTGATATATTGTTACAATAGCGTTGAAAAATATTAAAAATACATAGCCACAATTTTTTTTTATAAGCATTTGAAGTTCAAATGTTGACAAAATGTATGGATAAATATATAGTTTTTTTTTGTTAGGAAGGATTTTACTTAGAAAGTTGGATTATTTTTGTGTTGGAAATTATAGGTTAAGAATATGCCTCTGCACCACCAGAAATTGGACCCAATTTACGCCACTGGTTATAGGTATTAGGTAATATTTTATAAATGTAAAAATAATTAATACTTTTAATTAGGTACCTATGGAACATAATTGGATATCGGAATCGAATTTATAAACATTGCGATATCTTTTCTCTTTATAGATATTTTTTGAAAATATATAACTTAAAAAACGGTCGGTAGACTTAAAAGGGTTTAATGATATTTGTTTTCCCTTTCTCGGACGACGTTGCAGCGCCGGTGCGACTGTTGCATGGACACTGTGCTCAAGTCATTTTTCCAGATGTTCAACCCCAGTGTGGAAGCTGGTCCTGGACGGTTGGTCAGCCGGCACCGGTACAAGGACGGCTTCATGCCCGACTATCCCTTGGAGGTTATCGGTCACGACGGCGAATGGGTCAAGCCACCCAATGACAATGACGATGGAAGCGTGCCGACGGCCGATTACGTGGACGAAGGTGCAGGTAATGGTGCAAGTTTAGGAAGTGGTAGAAGTAGTAGTGGCGGTTCAAGTTCGGAAGGTGGCGCAGGTGGTATGAGTGGCGATAATGGCAGGGACCGGCTGGGATACTCCATCCGGCAACAAAAGATTGATGCAGCTCTCAGTGCAACTTCAAGTTCCGGTCCAGGAATTCGGCCCGACGACCATCGGCCATTTTCGGATTTCGTCGTCAGCCTGCTCAGAACGGTTCAGCTGACGCCTCTTGCAACGCTCAAAAAGTCAAAAGGCAAACCACCTGGCGCTGCAGTCCCGGCCACGAAGGCGGCTGTGCATCAGCCTCAACACCAAGGTGGCAACTCGAAACCATGGTAGCAATATACTTTGCGGCGGGTGCAGTGAGAGCCCTCCTAAACACGAAGGGCAAACCATTTTGAACTTAGTTTTCCAAACCTTTCTTCGAGTGCCTATAACATATTATGTTTAATATTATTTTGACCACGTGCGGGTCATGAAAGTTTACGAAAAAGTGTACCCCCCTCCTCTAACGTCACTTGCAAACGCCAAAGTTTCGATGATATATAGGTAAAATAAGTATAAACCTATACTCGTGATTTTTAATTACCTATATGATATTTAAAATGTATTTATGCCCTGCTCAACTTTCTTAAGTTTTCGTGTGTTATTTAACGTTTTATTTTAGTGTATTTAATTGTAACATTATCAAACAATATATAGGTACCTATTATATTTATACAATGTTATGCAGTTAAAAGGCACATTTTGGAAAAAAATTATGTTAAGCCTTCTCTCGTCTAAACGCACAATGCTAATAGGTAAATTATTATTTCGTTGTAATCGATTTACTACAACACGAATGAAACTTCAATTTATCTTACGTTTTAACATAATATTCGAGTTCCAACTCCGAAATTGGTTCATATGTTTATTGTGCACAATATATTTTATACAAGAACGCTACTTGCGTATATTTAATTTTTTTTCGGCTCCAAGGCCTAGACGAAAGTATGGATATTGTAATATTTGTAATGGACAAGTCGTGCTGATTCGCACGGAATACTGGCGCGTTTACTATATTATAATATTATTGTTTATGTTGAAATGTTCGAGAGAAAAAACAATCAACATCCCGATGTTTGTTCGATACGTCATTGTGTCATAATATACTATATTATATTAAACCACGATGCACATTTAATTTAAGTCAGTTTATTATTATTATTATACCTACATATTATTATAGTTGTTTCTTGTATTATATTATATTATTATGGTTACAGTTTTTTTTTTTTTATACTAACCTGGTTTGTCACGCGATTGTTTAACACTTCAAATTATTTACAATTGTAATAATATATTTCGTTTACACTACTACCGTATTCGTATTACCTTACCGTTTTAAAATAAAACATAAAACCAAGTGGTGACCCGAATTGAAGCATTCATATGTATTTTTGAACTTTTCTGGCATCTATCTTCCCAAATTTTAATTACTTCTAACTATACATAGTACAAAATGTCCATACTTTTAAATGAATAACTCGTAATAGAGTGAACGATTTTTTAAAAATCTCCTTACTCTGCGATACCATATCTACACAGAAATCACTCTGAGATTTTTCAGCATATTATGGTTTTCGGCTTTTTGCTTGTTATAAATTAAAATAATATTGCAAACAGTTGAGTCTTGATAATAAATAGTACTTAAATATAGATTGCAACAGTATTACAGTAATATAATGGAGGTATAATATGAAGGCGGAAAATGATAAAAACCATAATCTAGGGTTAGAACAGTGGTGTTGTTATAGTACAAGTTTTTATTGAGGCTGTTTATACCAATAGTTTACCACATATACCTTTTTTTATGGATAGCTATATCATAGTTAAAGACAGAATACATATTGTGTAACAAAAATATAATAACATACACAATAAATTTACCAATAATTACCTAACATCCTAACCAAACATTAGGTGTAAGAGAAGCATCTTATAATTTTAAAACAGATTGAATAAAGTTACTTTTTTTATTATGTATCTAAGCTAAATATTTTTGTTATTTTTTTTTAAAAAATAAATTTGTAGCATTTTAAATACATTTTACATTTTTTTCGTCAAAAACAAATTCACTAATTTTATGAAATTAAAATGAGGAGCGTGTGTCTATAATTATAAAATATACAAAATAGATCATTAGTACCAATATTATGTGCATCGTGGACACTACTATATACATACAATTGTAAGGAATTTGTAAAAGGACGCTGAAAAAACATACCAATAAATTCTGACCCTAATAATTACTATACAATAAACAACAATATGTAATGTACTCTTACAGTGTAGTAGTGTACACGTACATAAGGGACAAATAATATTGATCATCGTAGAATAGCCAACGCGTAACACCTTCAATTAAAAATATATAGGTATTATAAGTAAAACTCGTTGACTCGTTGGCTTTAATAGTTTATTATAATATCTATTATATTATATTATATTATGAGTTACGATGTACCTATAAGACTTTAATAAGTACCTATAAATAGTATTAATAAAACACCTAAGTATAATAATGACGTTCAAAGTTCCACACGCCATTAAATGGTGTGGTTATAAGACATTATTCATAAATTATATTATTATATTATCTACATTCTACATATATCGTATCATCAGCAGACTCTGAAAAAAATTCAATTGATAAGTTACATATTATTACAATAAATAATTAGCAAAATAAAATGAGTCATTTTATAATGTAGTAGGGTACATTAAAAATAAAAATTAACATTTGTAACGATATAACGAAACTGATAAGTAAATCGAACAATAAATTAGTGCAATAACGTAGGTAATAAATAATAATTTTATAATAAATTATCTACTACAGTTGATATTATGCAAAGGTATTTGTTAAGAAATCCTGTTTTTTCACAAAACACTACGTAGGGTATTTATAATAATATATTGTGGCAGAATGAGAAAAACTCCATGAATTGCGGAATTTGTATGACCCTCACTAGTTATAATGTTATATAGATTATTTTTTTTAACATCCATTCCAAGAAACACCAATTAAAATAAACCATAATTTTATGTTGACGTATGTACCTAATATTAATATTTGTATGATTATAACTTAAAACCTAGACACGATGATCATTACAAACATACAGGACACGTGCAGGCTACCGGCGGTGGATAGGAGAAAAAATATTATCCTTTAAAAACGTGCTAGATGAAGATGACTAATTAATGGTAATATTATAAATGCACATTATGATGACTACAAATTTAAAAAAAAAATGTTAAGGTCTTAATTAAAATATTAATGATTTAAAAATATTGACCAATGGATTAAAAAATCAGTTATATTTTTTTACCCTTTGGCCTTATATTATGTAAAATATTAAATGACTGTTTTTACTTGACGTAACCATATACGTCTATGTAGGTATGTTAATACTATTTAACTAATTCGGTCATAATATATTAATAAATACAATTTTCGTTAGAAAATTAAATTATCATAATATTATACGAACATACATTAAGTATATTTTTGACATGTCTATCCCACCTATCCAAATTCCTTGGTAAAAAAACTTGGTATCCACACAATTTTCAGAAATCCCCCCCCAAAAAAAAAAAAATAATTCTCAAACGTAAATGGTACAAAAATAATCAAATTCAGACTGTCTTTAATGAGTTTAGTTTAATGAGTGGCTGCTCTGCTTAATGATATGTCATGATGTCTACATATTTTTTTTAGTAAGTAAATGCCGGTACGGTATTGCTATATATTCACTATTAACGTACGATGTTTGGCCAACATAACGGAGAGACGACTAGACGAGGCAGACGAAACTAAAGAAGCATCTGAACGATAGGGAATAACTAACCCGCATAACTAATACATAGTTACATTTAAAAAAGAATTATAATAGATGTAAATTACATCTTTTATAAATGATGTTGTAGTTAACATGCAGTTGTGTATTGGCTAACAGATTTTTATACAAATCAGCATCCATAAGTTTAATATCAAACATGATTTTGGCCTATTAGGTATAGATTGTATATTTTGTGTGATAAAAAAGTTAGTACGTATAATCTCTATTTAGTATAGTAGGTATATAAATGTCAAATTCCGATTGTGTATGTCTGGATGTGAAGATTATATTTCCATCAGTTGAACCTTTTTTTATATGTCAAGTTCGATTGTACACGATTTGTTCCCCTATTGATCCCCCTTTGAAAAACATGTTACCTACTCCACTGGACACTGATATTAACTTTTGACCTAAAAAAAAACTTAAACTTCACTAATATTACTTATGTTATTTGTATATATTATTCATATTTTTTGACAAATTGTGTTTTTAAAATATATAAAATTAAATCTAAAATTGTTAATTTACAATTTACATGTACCCATCACGATGTCCGAGGGGTAATCTCTAAAACTTCCGTCAGATATTTACAAACGGTATGTCAATAAATCGGTCTCGTCAATGTGGGCTATATTAAATGTGGACTATTATAATATAAGATAATATATTATACGATTGACCAGACTTCTGTCCCATAAAAATTGAGAGATGAAATAGTAACAACCCAGTGGCGTCATCGGTCTGGTTTTTACGGTAACTTAAAAATAATATATTCCCCATATTTGTCCGTCTTAAAAACCTACATTTTTCATTTGTTCTCCACAGAGTCGGGTAATTCAATGATATGCAACTTTTTACGTCTTCAAAAACAATGGCACATAATAATTAGTGTTCACGACTGCGAGACTTCTTGCATTTGCATGTTTTTTTGAGGTGGTTGTAGAATATTCTACGTACAATCTAGATGAAATATAAATCTGTTTTGTAAAATGTTAAATTAGAATATAAAATTGGGCTTGTCCTATATTTGTGCATAATATCTTGTTATATTTTACAAAAAAAAAGCAAATTCGAAAAATGTTAAATTAAATGCTGACATTTCTTCTTAACAATTATTATAAGTATCATTTCTCCACTATATTATATCAATGCATATTTTACCATTATATTATACTGATGTAAGCCACAACCGTATTCCTTGATTTAATCCCTTAATAATTATATTATTGTAGAGGATTGTTAAATTGTTTGGTAATTTTAATTGCATATTCACGTGCATATTACGAACATTTTTAATAAAATATGTTCCGATCCCTAACGGCTAAATAATATTATAATAACACTTCTGATTTACAATAAATAATAATAGGGCTTAGACAATACACGTATGTACATTTTGTAAAAATTAGACCATCGCTGGTGTTCCAACACCATCATCATAATAAAAATATCGTAGATACAAATGTATAACCCAAATAGAATATTCATAAAAGAAAAACATTTATATGTATTTATTTTATATCACAAATAATAATATTAAAATATACAATATATTATAAGTTGAACAAATGCATATTATATTTAAATATTAAAACTCTATAGCGTAGGTATTGCATATTGACCTCAATAGACGTCCGTGGGTTATACCTAAGTGGCCAAGTATATATATTGTATACTGTGTGTCCACAAAAACCGGGTACACTATAAATCGGTTACTTATATTTATCAGTACATATTTATTTTTTTTTTTTTTGAGGGGATAATCTATTGAACCATAAATTGCTATAACTTACAACTTTTTAAATTTGGTTTTTTCCACAAGTGCAACAATTTCACTTTTTCTTTGTAGCCTGTTGTTGTGGACACACGATATATTACGCTCATGTATAATATATTATATAGGTACCTACAGTCTACACATTATCATAAATTTATACTGTTCTTATAGTTACTATTAATTATTTTAAATTGATAAACTTAACAAACTGATCAAAGGTCGTTAGACTACAATACAACACGTAAAAAAATCCAATATAATAACATTTCGCGTATTTACGTTGATATTTCCTCGATAACATCGGAAAAAATTATTGGTATAGGAACCTGCAGTTATATAATATACGGACGGAAGTAATAGATCACTTACGTCACTAGTTGAACTGTTAATTATTTTTAATTAATAACTTTATAGTTACAATTATTAAATTAGGTACTAAAGAAGATTTTAATTTTGAATATTTTTTTTTTAAATAGTGATTTTTTCTTTCTTTTGACTATGATCATTTTCCCCCGTAACCCTTCAATTATATGACTTTTATCGATGTCTTTTATCTTTTATTAATTTTTAATATTTTTAGTATTTCATAAATAAATAAGAAAATAATTAATACATTTTACAATTTGCTTTGATTATTTTGTCATCACAGGCAATCGATAAATCTTTATATTGCGTGTTACTATTAGTATATTATCACATGTGTTGTGAGTTTTTTATGAGTCAGAAAAAATTGCCAATATAAAAAAACTGAGGGGGAGAGAGGGCATTAAAAAAAAATATGTACTTAGGGCAGCAAAATCCTAAATACGTAACTGCCTAAATTGATGTTTGAAGTTTTAAGTTATACAACAAGTAAATGGGATGAGGTTTGATTGACGGGAGGTGGAAGTCATCCAATGGTGGCACGCCGTACTTTAATACTTAATTGGAAAAATAAATAATACCTATAAGTAATGTAAATTTTTCTGAAAATTAACCAAAATTAAAAAAAATAAGATTGAATTTCTATTTTATCCAGAAAAGCAGGCCGGGTTTTTTTTGGGTTTTTTTAAATACCAAGTGGGTTTAACCCAGAAAAGCGGCCTGGGTTTTTTCGGGCTAGGCTTTTTCGTGCCAACCCTGATAGGAATCCACAGTTATACTATACAATTTTAATTTTTAACCGACGGAAATAACAGATTATTTACGTCACTCGTTCTTCGTTGAACTGTTAATTAATTTTAATTAATAACTTTCTAGTCCCGTTTATTTAGTTAGGTACTAAAGAAGATTTTAATTTTGAATAGCTTATTAATATTATAATGTAGTCGAAATGCCAAGAGATGAAACCACCAAAAATTCAGTTTTACCAGAGAGACAAAAATGTTAATAGTTTTCTTAACAATTTTCCAAAGGAACGTAAAATTTGATTTGTAAATCGTTAAACACGTACCTAAATAAATAATTATGCAGTTAAAAGTGAGAAACAATTTTTTGATTTAATCATTATGCTTTAAAGTGAAGGAAGTTGAGGGTTTCAGTATTTTACCCTAATTTAGTGGAGTATTTAAGGAGACCAGGGGGGCATTACTTTGAGGGGGGGTCACCAAATGTGTGTACTTATTTCGTCAAAAGGTACTATAATTATTTAATTTTTTCTTTCTTTTGACTTTGATCGTTTTTCCCCGTGACTATTCAATTATGTAGCTTTTATCTGCGATGTCTTTTTCAAGAAATATTAATTTTTAATAATTTTAGTATTTAATAAATAAATAAAAAAATAATTAATACATTTTACACTTTGCTTTGATTATTTTGTCATCACCAGCACTCGATAAATCTTTATATTGCGTGTTAATATTAGTATATTATCACATGTGTTGTGAGTTTTTTATGGGTCAGAAAAAATTGCCAATATAAAAAAACTGAGGGGGATAGAGGGCATTAAAAAAAAAAATGTACTTAGGGCAGCAAAATCCTAAATACGTAACTGCCTAAATTGATATTTGAAATGGTGAGTTACACACTTAGGTACGCTATGAGATTTTTATGGTTACATTAATATTTAATTGTACAAATTATAAAACAATAACAATGTTGAATTACAGTGAGGGTAACCTTAATTGACTTTAACAGTTTACAATTATTGTGGCTTAAATCAGTTTACCATATCATTATGTTGCTACTGTGAGTTACAATATTCTTAAATTAAATCAGATTGAATTTAAGATTGAAATAATGATTTTCGGCTTACATTACTTGGAAAAAACCAGTATTTAGTACTATTTACATGTGTATTTTCATTATCAGTTAAAATTGATTTCAATATGCATATGTTGAGGGTTACTTCACTTGGCCATCCACCATTATTGTACAACAATTAAAAAAAGTTTATTTTGTATTTTTTGTGGAAGTTTGACCTATATTGATATTTCAAGCTAAATTTTCGATGGTTTAAAAATTTAAATGATCCGGTACAGTAATAAATAATAACAACTCTACAGAATAGATCAAATAGATTTATTAAGTCATAATCTTATAATCCAGTGATATTATAAAACTTAATGCGCAAGCTAATGGGAGTGAATCATCGTGCTTTGATGTATCCTGTTTTAGGATCTCGATGTGTTGATATAAGAGATTATAGTATTATTTTGATTTGTAAATGTTGCATAGATATTTATATAGAAATATAGTATACACATTAATACATCATTAGTTAGGTTTATGATAATATTGTTCTAAAATTATTGCGTAACCTATCCGATTCTGAATAAAAATAAAAATGGATGTGATATTTGTGCTACCATATATTTACATATTATGCTAATATTTAACAATATTTAAAAATACTTTTTTTTTTTTTATTAGAAAACAAGAATAGGTATATACAATCTGTAATAATTTTTACAATAAGTAATATGTGGGGTACAAGTACACAAGAAGTGACGACATGATAGAAGGGTGGGGGGGTCCAATGGTCTTACTTCAAAGTTCTGAGGTTGTTTTTTGTTTTTTTTTTCTAAACGTTAAGGAGGACCATGGGCCAATTTCGTTTGAGACGGCGTAGTAAAATAAAATCGAAGTAAATAAAATCGATTTCAAATAAAATTACTAATTAAACAATGTTGTATGTATTAAAAAACCAGCCCTAACCATACTGCAGGTTTAGGTAACAAATGATGGTTGATTCAGAAATATATATGTGAAATTCGGATTCGAAAAGCCGTTGCTTGTCAACGCTCAATAGTTACCGCAATGAGTATTAGGTCCGCGGATAAATGACTGAGAGACGTATCGGCCGGGCCTGTCGATGACGATCTTTCGCGTTTTCTTCGGGATCAATCCGCCAAACAGCTGCTGTTGGTTCTTCCCGACGGTAGTTACACTACCAAGACCACGGTAATAGTCGTTACCACGATGCAGGCCAGATCTCGGTGACGACCAGAAATACGGAGACATCGGGATCATAACGTTTTGGTAAGGGCGGAGAACGCGGTTAATATAATTGTTTCGGGGCATCGCCACGGCGGCGGTCGTTGCGATTGAAGCCAAGGCGGGCATATGGGGCAGACGAGTGTTGCCGATGCCATTACCGATCAGGCCGATATTCCGATAATGTTGAGGTCCTCGGTGATAAGATCCTGCCATTCGAAAAACATAATAATTTTATTAAAATATTTGTAAACGCTGCGTACTCATATATTATTAATTAATCATAATATGTACCAATTGATTACAAATATCAACATTTTAATATATTATTATTATTTTTATTTTTTATTTCGTTTAACGTGTATTCATCATTAAATCATTTATTTTACATTCACATAATAAAATAGACTATAGTATATTATTTTTATCACTATAATTTTAGGTACAAGGTTTTTGGTCTTGGTAGGGTAGGTACCAGGGACAATTCTTTCTAGAAGGGCTAGTAGAAAAGAATATAAAACCGAAAAAGACTATATACCTGCCTATATTATTTAGGTAGGTTTATATTTTTTTTTTTGACTATAGACTATAGTATATTTTTTTATCACTATAATTTTAGGTACAAAATATATAGTAACTAAGTACTTAATATAAAAATTTAAGAGGATTTCAGACCATATATCACTGTTGAAGTAAATATAAAAATTCGAATACAGAACGGACCCCTATTGGGTACCTAATGCAAATTACTATTATTTGCAGTATAACCCGACAGTAAAACATATTATAATTCGTCTATCCAGTTTAAGACTGCAACAACTCAAAAAACCACTTTTTTCAGGAGAGTGATTTGAAAAATCAATGAATGTTTGGTCAACTATAAAATATTAAATAAATTAGCAAGGAATACAATTTTTGGTACACATTGAATTGAAACTTAATACTTATTTTTTTAGTTATAACACTTATTACAAAGAAAATAAGCCAAACAAAACTTTTATTTAATAAAAACGACTTAAAAATACTCCTGTAAGTACATACTTGTTACTGACAAGTTGATAACAAAATAAAATAAAATAAAAAAAATAATATTTTTTCTTTTTAACAAATTAAAATAAAACTTTTGACAACTTGTCATTACCGACAATACTATTTAGGCCTTAGGAGATATAATTTTACATTATTGAAATATCGTAAAAATATCTTAGAATTAATTCATACCTAAGTATGATTATGTTATTAAAATTATCTCAGTAAATATTTTTTTGCAGAAACTTAAACTAGGTATTTAGGCTTCACTGTCAGTATATACAATTATTTTTGAAATAGTAATAATTACACTATGGGACTTAATTAAAATAATATTAAAATTACAGGTATAAGATACGAGATTTGTAAATAATTATATTATTAACAACCAGTACTATAATAATTCAATATTCAAATATTAAAATATTAAAATAATAACTAAAGATGGTGTAGGTACATAGCTCGGATTAGTTAAATTTCGAGTTGTTGCAGTATTGAACTGGATACTGGATAATCGATATGGAGATGTTGCTATAAATAAGTTTTATTATCAGTTCAATACTGCAATAACTATACTTGTTTCACTTTTGAATTGAATAGGTATGATAAACAATTTTATGTTGTTCTAAAACGAAATAAGAGCACTCTCTAGTGATCAATAATTGAACTTATTTTTATTTCGTTATTGAATTAAAATCACAAAAAACAGCCGGAAAAAATGACGTAGCTAACTCATTTTTCGATTTTTTTTGAATTGTTGCAGTCTTGAACTGGATAGACGAATTATTAGGTCTGGTAGGAGTATTAAGCAGAAGAAGTTCACCGAAACGAATCGCAGCTAATAAGATTTTCAAAATTCGATTGTACTTACCGGTGCCGTACAAGTAACCTCCACCGATTTGATGGTGATGAGGACCGTAGTAGCCTCCGTCGACGATGTTTGCCTGATATATAGGTACACAACGAAATTAAAACTAATCATAATAGGTGCACGTATAATATAATAATATATACCTAGCACTACGGTTTTTAATTGAAAACTAGGTGAGTCGTGGGAATCAATTATTAATTAAATTATGACATAAAAATTACTATCGACTGCACAGACACTTACCCAAACGGTACGACCTACTCCGCCACAGACCAATACGAAGATCGCCGTCGTTTGATGCGAATTCATCTCAAGATATTTTTAAAAAAAAAAACGTTCTCAACGATTGTGACAATAACTGACAAGAATGAGTCGAAAAATTATTTCAATCAAACACTTTTCAATAGTGTGTATTATTGTACTGATTTGTACTGTAAATTATAGGCTGCACATGCGTGGTACTTGTGCGAGCTTAACTTCGTCCGACAACCGCATTTATATAATATTATATACCTACCGGGTTCACGAGTCTCGTTCGAGCGACATATTATATTATTATTATTGATCGGATCGGATTCGCGTCCAATTATCACAACACGCAATGATAAATAATATTCACACGGCCGTGTTTGACGTTTTTGGGGATTTTCGTGGTTTATACGTAAATGTAAAATAATATTATCATAATATAGCTACAACAACAATATAATAGACATGTCAAACAGCACGCGCGAGTTGGAAGGTCAGCGAAGAAAGAGCTCAAGAAGTTTGTGGTGCAGATGTTTTCGGACTCACAACGTTGTAACACGTATAACTTATAACCAGGGCCTGATTTACCAATTTATGGGCCCAGTACAATTTACAATTTTGGGCCCCAAATTGTCCTTCTCTATTTTCTTCAATGCGAAAATAAAATGTATGCATAATGTATTTTTAAATTAATGTTGTATGTAATTAGTTGCTTATATATGAGTTAGATCAATACTAAATAGAATACAATTGTATTGTTAAAAATTTGATTATTCAATATACAAGAACACTACACTTTCAATGCGTCTAATTAATGTTTAATATTTATTCAAGTAAATAAATACAAATTAAAAATCAATTTTTGAATATTATAATTATATATCACACTAAGTGTTTTTAAGTCAAATTTGATTTCAGCTAATCAGCTTTCACAAACATTTCGATTGTGCGCAGATAAACTAGTTTTAAACCTAAATTTATCTAAACAACCTTGTAGTTTTTTTTGGTTTTTCATGATGTTAATTCTTTTATAATTTCTCTTCATTGAACCACATAATTATTTTTTTGACATTTTAAATTATTAAAAATAATAAATAAATGACAATTAATAGATATATAACAAATACGACTGAAGTATATCAGGTATTATTATACTCAAAACAATAACGTCAATATAGTAATATTACGATGATAAAAACGGCAATTAGATTTAGTGATCAGCAAAGTTGATTAAGGTCGTAATTTTCAGGGAAAACTATACTTTATAACCCACCAAAATATCCAACTAAAATCCAAATCTATTTTGTTTTCCCAAAGTATGATAAAAAAGTATACAATTAATTTTGTATGCCTGAAGTTGGTGGGCCCCTCTTATGAGTGGGCCCAGTGCAGATGTCCCATTTGTCCTTGCATAAATATGGCCCTGCTTATAACTAAATGTGTTGTGTTGTGTACTCGGTGTCTTGGTAGAGTGGTATGTTGAGGGACATTTTTTTCTGGAAAGGCTAGCAGAAAAGAAAGAGATACCGAAAAAGACTATACCTACCTATATTATTTAGGTAGGTATATATTTATTATTTTTATTATTTTTTTTTTTTTTGAGGCGATATGTCTGAACGAGACACGATCACGTCTTCAATCATCAATTTATTTCTTCGTATTATATAGATTACAGGGTGTTTTACCAAGCATGCTCAATGGTCATAAGTGAAATTAGAGGGGGGATGTCTTGGGTGTGCTTAGCACTCAGAAACCCTAATTTGTTCATGTAATTTACATTTTAATAGTCATTATGCGGGTGTACATAACCATAAGGTAATATGAAAAAATAGTCGGCTTCAGTAGCTCTATGACTTTTAGTATGCAAAATGATACACGCGCTGCATACGCCGGACGTCTCTTTACGTAATCGTGTTATTTATGGAATATAATATTTTATATAATGCCATAATTTCTGCACTGCTAATTATTTATTATATCCTAATAATTTATTTAAAATCGTAGTCATATATTTATTGATTCATGCCACTCAGGGTCACGAGCTGGCTACGGTAAGTATTTACATATGTTATTTGGTCACGTAAAGTCACAGCTCGCTATACCTCACCGCCCTTTCAAAGGTTTTTGTAGAGCTATAAAAATCTTTAAAATTTTACATAAGACAAAAGTTTACAATATACATAAATACATAAGTTTACAAACGCAATATATAAATGATTAATAGTTGTTTTATTTACGACAATTTTACATAATAATTTCCATTTTACAAATAATATTCTTGTTAGTTGTTTCACACAATATACAATTTAAGCACAATAAAAATAATGATTAGTAATTCGATTAAGACAATATTACAACAATATTTAGTACAATAATAGTATTTCATGTTAGTTTACAAATTATATTATATCCATTGATTACAACAAAATTTTGGTTAATAGTAAAATTTAATATATGATATAATATTTAATATCTCCAATGACATTGCAGACCAGTATATTTTAATAAGTGCGTGTTTAAATAAATATGTTAACATTTGTTATGTTATATTATATTATCTTTCATAAAACAGTAAATCTGTAGCACTGGGTATAATTTCAATAAACCTAGCCAAATCCAAACAAATCGGATTTGCTAAATCTCTTTCTCAAACCATATCGGTCACAAATCTTAAGGTACCAATATAGAGTTATTCGCTGAAACTATGTGATAATCAAAAGGTTCTGTAAAATTGTACCATTCTTCTTGTTCTGGGTTAGTGTGTACTTGGATTGCTAAGTTTATGTTTATCTCTTGCAATAGCTGACAATTCATAATTGGATTATTGATTTCCTAAAATTATAAAATTTAACTACTTTTGTATTTTTATGTTATTTTTTTTTTTTATCTGAAAAAGAGATGGGAAATTTAAAAAATGCTAATGTAATTTTATTTAGGTAAAAAGAAATATATATCAATAAAAACCAGGTTTGGATGATAAGACCGAGCTTTATAAAATTGAGCCAAGAGAATATATCTAAGCTAGGGTTGATTACGTTACGACAGAATTCATTACTATATAGAAATCCGATTAACCACGAGATTTCATTATTATATTAATCAGATACGATTTCAGGGGTTGTTTTTAATTGATTCAGAGCATTTTCACAATGGTACAAAGTATTATTAAAAAAGTGATAATTAGCTCTCAAGATGTTAATAGATTGACAATAATTTGATCTATGTTCAGGAAGAAGACAGGTGTTCGCTTTTAAACGACTCCTGGCATGTGCATTTGCACCAACCAATGCGGCTTCGACTGCAATTGGAACACCTGTAACGTGCCAACCACTTCAACTCAGTTTTGATTGTATTTTGAATAAAATAACAATTTGATGGTATAATGATAGTTTATTTGTATTTATTGAACACGTAAAATAGTCTAAGTCCAAATAATTAATTTATAATAATGTGGTAAACGACATGTGACTTAGTATCGACTTGGTGGCTGCTCTGCTGGTGCTCGTCTACTCGGCTGGTGTTCGTCTGATGGACACTTGTCCATCGACGTATTTCGTCGGTATTCCTAATAGATCCCTCCTATGGCATTTTTAGTATAAAAACCGCATCTGCCTGAGGTCATTTCTGACGTCTTTTACGAAATGATGTTAATTACGGATTATATGTTTCCAGAGTTATCTATTTGTACTGTTTACGGCTTTTTCGTCTTTCCTAGAATATGGATATTGCGCGCTTATACCTATCACGTGTCTTTATTGATGTGATCGTCATTAATTAGTTCTTTTTGATGTAGCCGCTCGGATGCTGATATTATTACTATTACCGTGGTTGCGCGCTCCCTGTAGCATCTATGTCTATTATTGAACATAATATATATATATTATAATCCTACTTTACCTAATACAATATAATATTTTATATATTATTACTATTATTAATATATACGTGGTCACAGCTCGTTACACCTCATCGCCCTTTCAAAGGTTTTTGTAGGGCTACAATTTGTATAACTACAAAAATCTTTAAAGACAATTTACATAAAACATGGACATAAATACATAGTACATAATTATGCAATATACATAAATTGTTAATAAGTGTCATAGAGACAATTTTACATAATTTCTTTTCATGACATAATGATTTTCATTTTACATAATTTCTTTTTACGATACATAACTTTTCATCATATAACATAACAATATTTCTTTTTATACGATATATAATTTTTTATCACATAACATAACAATATATATTTTCTTTTTATAACAATATTTTTTTTTTCGTAACATAACGATATTTTTGTATAACAACATTTTTGTTTTCGTAACATATAACAGTTTCATTTACATAACAATATATAATATGTTTTTCATCTGATTTTTAAACATAATAACATAATAATTAAAATTTTGGTTAAATCAATACTACCTTAATAATTAATACAATAACATACTATATTACTATAGTATTGAATACAATAATATTTTTCATGTTAAGTTACATGTTTTATATAATTTATATTTAATGATTACAAATATTTCATAATCTCCAATGGGATTACAGACCAGTATATTTTAATAAGTGCGTGTTTAAATTTATCTTTACATCATTGTTAACAATCAGTTTTTTTATTGCACTGGCATAATTTCAGTAATAGTAATTTACTATGACAAAATGTGTATTATCCATTTTTATGTCACATGGTTACTGTCTTACTAAAGGTCGAGTAACCATGTTCCAAACCAAACTTCAAACGTACTTTTGTAAAAACTGTAAAATAATTCCTTTTGTTAACCAGGGAAATGACTAATTAGATTTTCATACTTGTATATGTATGGTTTAATAATTTCTTAATCTGGACTTTCATGATACTTTGTGTACGGTAACCTTTCTTCTTCCCCTTTGGATAACAATATTTTCAGTGTCTAACACTTCTAAAATTTCGAAAGGCCCCTTCCATAAAGGTGTCAATTTATTTCTTTGGGTATTATCTCTTAACAATACAGTCTTTTACATGCAACTCTACACTATGTGCATTACTATCATTTTATTTTATTTAGAATTGACTTAGAGTACTGAATAATATATATCTTACTCTATTAAAATGATTGAAACATAAAATACCTGAAAATAAAATTTTTATTTAATTTAATTTAATGGTTGAATACATTTTTAATTTATTTAAAATAACTGGCTACGTTATTTTAAAATAATTTATTATTTTATTCAAAAGTTAATTATTTTAATCCTCGAAAAACTATCGATTTATTTTATTTAAAACACTTGTAAATTTCAACACAATTTTCGGTTTGTTGAAACGAAAATTCAAAGTTCCTAAAATGTCTTATATTATTTAACACGACTAGTTTCTTCACTTATTATTATATACTATGGTCATGTATATACCATAGGAGACGAACACCGTGATATTAATTATGTAAGCATACTTACAACAACGCAGCTGGTACAGCGGGTGCTTCCATTTGCTCAGTTGAAATGTTGATTGTAGTTGGATGTTACGTAGTTGTACAGGATTCTTTCTCGGAGTTGCTGGAAGGTGATCAATCTCCCAACGGTGATCCAGTGATGAATTTTCCTCCTTGATTGAATTTAGAAGATCAACAATTTTCAAAAATTTTTTTTTAATTGTTCTTCAGGTTTTTTCTAAGTATCCTTTTGAGAAACCCTGTCCACAGCGCCAATTTTGTAACGTGCCAACCACTTCTACTCAGTTTTGATTGTATTTTGAATAAAATAACAATTTGATGGTATAATGATAGTTTATTTGTATTTATTTAACACGTAAAATAGTCTAAGTCCAAATAATTAGTTTATAATAATGTGGTAAACGACATGTGACTTAGTATCGACTTGGTGGCTGCTCTGCTGGTGCTCGTCTACTCGGCTGGTGTTCATCTGATGGACACTTGTCCATCGACGTATTTCGTCGGTATTCCTAATAGATCCCTCCTATGGCATTTTTAGTATAAAAACCGCATCTGCCTGAGGTCATTTCTGACGTCTTTTACGAAATGATGTTAATTACGGATTATATGTTTCCAAAGTTATCTATTTGTACTGTTTACGGCTTTTTCGTCTTTCCTAGAATATGGATATTGCGCGCTTATACCTAAGACGTGTCTTTATTGATGTGACCGTCATTAATTAGTTCTTTTTGATGTAGCCGCTTGGATGCTGATATTATTACTATTACCGGGGTTGCGCGCTCCAGCTGTAGCATCTATGTCTATTATTTAACATAATATATATATTATAATCGTACTATACCTAATATAATATAATATTTTATATATTATTACTATTATTAATATATACGTAGTCACAGCTCGTTACACACCAAGAAGAGGAATCAGTCGTTTTGGATGATGAACGATTGCAGCATACCATTTAATCACCCTCGACATAAATTGATTGTATGTGACGGTGGCAGCTTTCTTAAATACGCGTCCAAATACTGATGTCCAAAAATTCCTTTTAATTCTACTGCTTTCAGTATAAATAGGTCTGGGAGATCCATGACGCTTTTCGTGGTTAAGCATTGCATAATAAGAAAAATAATCTGAGTTGTCACTTATTATTCCAGTACAAGATGCTTCTATAACAGGAAGTGCAGGTATAAAGTTAGCAGGTTCTGAAAGATTTTGAGATGGATTTTTATCTAAATAATCAGCCATCTGTTCAGCAAACAATGCATTATCATAAACAATTTGATAATTTCTTGAGTTTTATTACGTCGAAGAATCAAAGACTGAAACAATCTATTAGTATCCGAAACAACAGTGTCGAACAATTTTTTATCACATTCCGGGGTATAAACTAATTTAGTAACAGAATCAGGTACATATGTGAAAAAATCAGTCCATTTTTGGTATTGCACATCAAGGTATGAGGTTCGTATTGTAAAGTATACAAAAGGGAACCCAACTCCAATAGCGATTGCTTATCTTTATCATCCTGCAAAGAGATTTGAAAACAACTAATTACTAAATCCAACCAGAGAAATAAAAATACTATAAAGATGCATTGTGTATTATTATAAACTGATAAAATGACTAAAGTCAAGGGAGACTGATCAAAAGGACCATGCCTATAGCTGTTTTTAATATTTTATTCTCAATAATTTATTTTTATTCTTAAAATAAATTTATTATTTTATTTAACTTTTGTTTTCTTCGATGTTCCGAACAATTATTATTTTATTTAATTTAACACGATTAAAATAATTTCACTTATAATATACTATGGTCATATACTATATCATAGGAGACGAACAACAAATTTAATTATGCGAAATACTTACAACAACGCGGCGGGCACAATAGTTGATTTTCTTGCTGGTACTTCCATTTCAACTGTTGATTGTAGTTGTGTGTGTTACGTAGTTGTACAGGATTCTTTCTCGTAGTTGTTGGCAGGTGATCAATCTCCCAACGGTGATCCAGTGATGAATTTAGATGATAGAAAATTGTCTTAATTGATTTTCTATTTCCTCCAAGTATCTCGTTTGAGACACCCTGTCCACAGCGCCAATTGTAATATACTCAACTACTACAGTTGAATTGATGGAAGTATTTTGAAATGATTTACGAAGATGATATTATAATTTGTATTTATTTGTACTCAAATAAAATAATTATGCAAATATATTCTAAGTCCAAATAATTAATTTAATTAAAACTGTAAGTAAGCGAGTTGTGACTAAGTATTCAGCTTATATAGACACACGATAAATTATGCTCATGTATAATATATTATATAGGTACCTACACATTATCATAAATGTTTACCGTTCTTATAGTTATTATTAATTATTTTAGATTAATAAACTGAACAAACTGATCAAAGGTTGTTAGACAACAATACAACACGTAAAAAAAACCCCAATATAATAACGTTAATAATGAGTAGTTTTATCGGGTTTTTCAGAAAAAAACCCATCCAAAAAACCCGTGGGTTTTATTAGAAAAGTAATGATGGGCTGTTTTATTGGGTTTTTTCTGAAAAAAACCCATTCGAAAAATCGGAATTTTTCCCATGTATTAGCTGCACTGTTTTTTGATTATTCCCTTATCTATTATTTTATTACCAAGTACAATTTTGTTAATTGTCAATTTTTGTTTAAATTATTCATTAAATATTTAATACCTTATTAAAAATAAAATATTATTAACATTTCTATTAATTGTTGGTGTGTATTTTTTTAAATTTTTTATTTTAAATTGTACCTAGGTATCTAATTAAAAACATAATAATTAAATATTTTAAAAATCAGTTAAATAATTTTTTTTTTTTTTATTGAACAAAAATGTTTATTGACAATCTGTATTTACAAGTTATACAACAAGTAAATGGGATGAGGTTTGATTGACGGGAGGTGGAAGTCATCCAATGGTGGCACTCCGTACTTAAATACTTAATTGGAAAAATAAATGATACCTATAAGTAATGTAAATTTTTCTGAAAATTAACCAAAATTAAAAAAAATAAGATTGAATTTCTATTTTATCCAGAAAAGCAGCCCGGGTTTTTTCGGGCTAGGCTTTTTCGTGCCAACCCTGATAGGAATCCACAGTTATAACTTATACTATACAATTTTAACCGACGGAAATAACAGATTATTTACGACACTCGTTCTTCGTTGAACTGTTAATTAATTTTAATTAATAACTTTATAGTCCCGTTTATTTAGTTAGGTACTAAAGAAGATTTTAATTTTGAATAGCTTATTAATATTATATTGTAGTCGAAATTCCAAGAGATGTAACCACCAAAAATTCAGTTTTACCAGAGAGACAAAAATGTTAATAGTTTTCTTAACAATTTTCCAAAGGAACGTAAAATTTGATTTGTAAATCGTTAAACAATAAGTAATATGTGGGGTACAAGTACACAAGAAGTGACGACATGATAGAAGGGTGGGGGGGGTCCAATGGTCTTACTTCAAAGTTCTGATGTTGTTTTTGGTTTTTTTTTTTCTAAACGTTAAGGAGGACCATGGGCCAATTTCGTTTGAGACGGCGTAGTAAAATAAAATCGAAGTAAATAAAATCGATTTCAAATAAAATTACTAATCAAACAATGTTGTATGCATTAAAAAACCAGCCCTAACCATACTGCAGGTTTAGGTGACAAGTGATGGTTGATTCAGAAATATATGTTTAATTCGGATTCAAAAAGCCGTCGCTTGTCAACGCTCAATAGTTACCGTAATGAGTATTAGGTCTGCGGATAAATGACTGAGAGACGTATCGGCCGGGCCCGTCGATGACGATCTTTCGCGTTTTGTTCGGGATGAATTCGCCAAACAGCTGCTGTTGGTTCTTCCCGACGGTAGTTACACTACCAAGACCACGGTAATAGTCGTTACCACGATGCAGACCGGATCTCGGTGCCGACCAGAAATACGGAGACATCGGGATCATAACGTTTTGGTAAGGGCGGTGACCGCGGTTAATATAATTGTTTCGGGGCATCGCCACGGCGGCGGTCGTTGCGATTGAAGCCAAGGCGGGCATATGGGGCAGACGAGTGTTGCCGATGCCATTACCGATCAGGCCGATATTCCGATAATGTTGAGGTCCTCGGTGATAAGATCCTGCGGTTCGAAAAACATAATAATTTTATTAAAATATTTGTAAACGCTACGTACTCATATATTATTAGGTGTGTTTTGGCGGTGTAACCGGCGCTAACCGCTAGTAAACTGTTTACTGGTATCGTTTTCGCGATTACGGTCACTGTAACCAGGTAACTAATTTCGTGAACGAGTTTAGTGAATTTTGTAACCGTCGATTTCGACTTGGTAAGAAGGTTTACTGAGGTTCGGTTACTAAAAAGTTTATGATATCAAATGTTATCAAATATTTCAGTAAACAAAATGTTGGTTCAAGCAGTTGTTTTGGCGTTCCAGTAAACGTTTTCTAACCGTATTCCATAACCATAAACTTATTTACTAAACAGTTTACTCCGCCAAAACACGCCTAATAATTAATCATAATATGTACCAATTGATTACAAATATCAACATTTTAATATATTATTATTATTTTTATTTTTTATTTCGTTTAACGTGTATTCATCATTAAATCATTTATTTTACTTTCATATAATAAAATAGACTATTACTATAGTAAACTATAATATATTAATATACTTATTATTTTTATCACTATAATTTTAGGTACAAGGTTTTTGGTCTTGGTAGGGTAGGTACCAGGGACATTTTTTTCTAGAAAGGCTAGTAGAAAAAAATAGAAAACCGAAAAAGACTATATAGGAACCTACCTATATTATTTAGGTAGATTTATATTTTATTTTTTGAGGAGATATGTATGTCTGCGCAAGACACGATCACGTCTTCAATCATACATTTATTTCTTCGTATTATACAGATTACAGCATAGGCGCAAATTGAGGGGGGCTTGGTGGGGTTAACCTCCCCCCAAACTTAGCTGTGGACCCCCAAAAACCTATTACATACAATTTTAAAATGCTATATTGCAACGTTCTACTTGCCTTTAATATATTCAACCCCAAAAGTCAAAAGTTGAAATTGATTCTATGATGGGTTACAGGTTGTTTACCAAGCATGCTTAATGGTCATAAGTGCAACTATGGGGGTGGAGGGCTTGGGTGTGCTAAGCTCCCAGAAACCCTAATTTGTTCTTATTAATTTACATTTTAATAGTCATTATGCGGGTATACATAACCATAAGGTAATATGAAAAAAAATTAGGAGTCTTCAGCACCCCTCAATTGTTTCATTGAAATTGCGCCCCTGTCAATGCTTATTGGTCAACTCCCTTTTATTCTTAAGCAGTTATTACCTCTAGGTAATAAAACTTTATTTTCTCAAGTAATTTTACTGTAGGTTTATTTTCTACAAAATGTTAGTACAACATTTCATAAAATAGCGAAAGTTTGCAAATTATTCTGTCGTTAAAATTTCGTAAAATCAAGTTTTCATACCTAAAATTTAATTCCTAAAATGTAAGGTTACGTGAAATTCTAATAAGACTTATAAACAAAATTTGATTGTAACTGAACATATAATTTTTAGGATCATCTGAAGTTTAAATTTTGACATTCTAGGATATTAAACAATAACGATTTCTCACTAAACGATATTAGTTTTTTTTAAGCAACTCTAAGAGTTTAAATTTTAATTATAGAACTTGACACATTTCATTATTACTTTAATTATCTCACTTGCAGCTGTGTTAAACAATACAATTGCTATAGCTATATAATAATAATTAATAACGTCGCACACGGTACCTACGCGTACTTGTTATTGTTATTACTGTGTATTATATGATTATTGTTATTATTATTATTATTTTTGTTGATGATGTCGTCACTGTCGTGTGGTCATGTGTAGCCGACACAACAATTTTAAAAACATAATACTTTAAAAAATAATATGTACCTACATACATATTATATTATATTATTATTATTATTACTACACGTAGTACTTATATAGTCACGCGTGAGCGTATAATATTATAAAATATGATATCATATTATACAGCACACATACCTGCGAATATTTGCATGTATGAAAAACGGTGTTCCAAACGAAAAATAATGACAGAGGTGCGCGGGTAAGGCAAGTAAACCGCGTATGCCTACCTAAATTTGTTTAGAAGAACCCAGTGGGGAAGAAAAAAATTCAAAACCGCGTAGCGGAAACGTTTAAAAAGCGAGCGCTTTCCGACGGACAGGGCACAGTTGTATTCTCCACGATGATATACAGAGCGATCACGCTTTTCGTCGCCGTCCAGGTACACCACATAATATCATATTATATACTATAATTAAAATACACCAATTAAAATTAAACCCGCGCGCAGATGATGACCCTTAGGCTTCGTTTTTTGTAGACTTCAAGTCGGACTTGCAGGTCGCGTAGGTATAATACTCGTCGTCCGGTTTTATCGATATACGTATTTATATAGGTACAGCAGGCCGGCGATACAACGTCCGAATCGCCTCGTATAATATGTCCAGGGTTTGCCAGTTAGACATCGCATTAATAGTGTACCTATATCTAAGTATTATTATAATATTTCGACATTTCAATTCGTCAGCGGACGAGCGTTTAGGGTTTATTTAAAAAAAAATATTACCACGAAAATACCTATTATAATATGTAATGCAGCTATCACTGTTGCCGATTATTTTTGTTTTCGGTTTGGTCGTGCCGCTGCAGTCGGTCGTCGTCGCTTCGCCCACGGCAACCATGTCGCATGGCGAGAACATCGTCTCCCCGATCGGAACGTTTTACCACCCGACGCCGTCTTCCAGGGCCAGGAGCTTTCCGGAAGTGGGCAAGCTTCCCAGGACGTCAGCCATGTCCAAAAAGCTTCCGGCAAGCGGACCCGACAAGTGGCTCAAGCTGAGTAATGCAGGTATGTGCTGTACGAATACATACTCGTTTTATCTTTTTCTTAAATAAATCGTTTTTATGAGAATGTCCGAAAATGCGATAATACGTAGCTGCAGCCCTATTACTTGTATATTTATCATATATCTTGTACAGTTGATACGCCGTTGTAGGTACTAGGTGTAGGCTGGTTGGAAATGATCTAAAAAAAAACTTAAAATACTATAGAGCATTATTTTTAATATAATAGACAATAGTACCTATATTATTACCTACTATACCTACATAGAAGGTATTCTATAGTTCAACCTTCAACTAATAGAACTATAGAAGTAGGTACTATATTGCAGGTTGCATCCGATATATTGATAATACTTAAAAGTACCTACTAAGTTTCGTTAAATTATAAATACCCAAACTTTTACATCTTCTGACTTCTAACTACCTTTACTATATATAGGTTTATTATATAGGTAGTAGATTTACTATAGGTAGGTATCTACCTCTTTGCTTTGCACTATACTCCGAAACACGGCGTTGTAGTTACTGTTGTTTTTAGTCCTTGCTTCCCCTATAAATTAAACTGAATAAAAATACCTGTAACAAATTAGTAGATATAATTTTTGTTGCAGTCTACAGTCTGTAGTAATCTAAAATGGCCTGTATTCATCGGATACATACTTATAATTGCGGACACGGGTTTCATTTATAGTAGTAGGTACTAATTGAGGACATCAAGTTAATAAAAACCAAGTGAATTGTGGGAATAAATATTTTCCTTCACCAATTTTTCAGAACTTAGGATGAGCTACGAAAAAAAAATTAGTGGAAGGGGTTAAAAATATTTTTGTTACTCAAAAGGGCAATCGTTATTCTTAAAATGTATTTTTATAAATATGTTGTGAAAATTTTTTTAAAAAAACCTAAATCTAATTAATGTGAATCCTTAGCAGGTAAACAATACGGTAAATTCGACTATATCAAACTCAAAATTGCCCAACGTCTGTACTCGTTATATTAAAAATAATTCGTCTGCGATTAGTGGGGGTAGGTATGTTATACATTTTGTGTCCGCAATTCGTATGTCACCTTTTTATAGGTTTTGTCCGAAACTCTTATGGTTTTTATTACATTGTCCACAAACCACAATTAGGAAACACCGTATTCATCAGAACGATTTTATTTTACCATCCTATACTTCTTATAATGAACTATCAAAGAAAAAAAAACACGCAATTTCTATACCTAGAAGTCTTCTAGCTATGATCATTTTACATTGCCATACTATATTAATATTATAATATCAACTATTTCTCGAGTGCATCAAGAAGACGTCACACTAGCACGTGTTGTCTCCATATTCCAAATGTACAACTTAGCAAAAACTGTTTTGCTCGGGACAATTTTTATCTTTCTGTGTTTGTAGTAGTGGCTCCAAAATTTCTGAACATATTATAATATGGTATTTTAGATAGCATAAATACAATTAAAGTTATTTGCTCCCAAACATTTGTTTTTTTTTTCATTTGCTTATAAAAAATGATTGGATAGTGCTATTAAAAAAAAACGCACGCTGTTGCACGGATAAAGTTCTTCTTAACGTGTTGTGAAAATTTGGTAGTTCTATAACAAATATGGTGAGAGAAATGTCGTCCCGCACAAAACAGTTTTTGCTATGTTGAGTATGTTGTACATTTGTTTGACGGTGACAACACATGTGGGTGTGACATCCTCTTAATGTGGTATAAAGGATTTCGTGGTGCTAAGGTACCCTACGATAAGCGCCTATTCTCTAATCATAATATGGATGGGTGCATGGACACGCACCGTACATCGTCTCTAAGACATGAGCTCCAATATAGCTTCTCTTGATATAATAGACATATAGAAGTATAGTACACACCAGATAATAAAATGTATGTCTAATAATTATTGTAATAGTTAACTATACCTACTTATTAGTTATTTGTCTTGTTTATATAAAATGTAAATCGGACACCGAAAGTGGATTTCCGTCGAGCCGGCACATTTACGACGCCTTAGGTACCATAGCGTTTTTTTGTTTAATATGACACACCTAAGTATTGTTTGTGCGCTTGTTGACGGCACAACAATACGGTTAATAGTTTATACATTAATATATTATGTTAAACAAGAGTTACCTACGTGACTTTAAGCTAATTTTAATCCAAACAAAACCCGCATCAGTGCCATACTGCCAATGTATTTTCGACGATTTTCGTATAAACAAGCACGATGAAAATCCGAAAATAAAATAATCGGAGGTAGAGTTAAGGCATAAGTACACTGCAGCAGACGTGATGTATAGTTGTGAACGGACCTAAGTAAACCTAATATAATATAGTCGGGCGAACGGCGGTGATTTAACGATTTACAAAGATCATAATACATTAATATTTATTAATATCTACCTAATATTTTATACTTAATACTTAATATTATGTATAAAATGTTAACGAAAAATAATTAAATATTTTTACCAGACCTATCAATACTACGACGGTCCTTTAATTGAATATACAGTCATGTAAATTATTATATTTGATCAGTGTATGATCTCTGATTTAATTATTAGGAGATATATAAGTAAGGAATAGATCGATAAATTTTTGTGAATGGCATCGCCTGTTTATAGATTAAAAAATGTTTTCTAATTGTTTCAATTTATTGTTCAATAACAAGATCGATTTTTGGATAAATATCGTTTTATTTAAAATGCTTGGCGTTTAATCAGTTAAACACTCTAAACATGATATGCTAATTTCAGGTAACAGCCATTTGTCACGCAATGGACGCTTTCCTGCTTTGGCGGACACATATCAACCACCCAGGACGCGATCTAACCATATGCGCTTAGAGGAATCACATAGGTCGGAGGAGGAAAGGGCGGAAAAGATCAACTCCGACCTGGAGAAGATGATACAGTTCATGACAGTTCTAGGTCAGGTTGACCGGTATCTGTCATCAAGAGCCAAGTCCTTCGTCAGCACTCTGGGCCGGGCAATGGAAAACAATCCCGATGACCATCACCTTTATAATGACAAGGAAGTGCCTTTAGATTACTGAGCCACACTCAGTATTATTTAAGTAAACGTTATAAGTTTCTTTTTTATTATTTTTTTTTTTTGATCCACTAATTTGTTCATATTTATTAATATTTATTTCAATAAAACCATACAATTTGTTCATGGTGAATTCAGAATAGTGTTATGTGCTCCTTTTGTAATTAAATCAGGAAAGAAGTTTCAAAATATCATATTACTATATTAGGTTAGTAAATATGATAGGTACATGTTTTCAAAATAATAATTTAAAAGCAAATATTGATAGTCAACATACAAGTGAAAAAAAACACAATATGTTATTTGGATTCAAAACTAATACAATTATTATTATTTGCTTGTTTTTAAATTGTATTTTGTTTACATTTATTGAAATGTATTACACATGAACAACAGAATATATGTACACAATTTGTTATAAATATATTTTTTTTTGTATAAATGTACTTACTTGCTATAATACTACAAGCATTACAGCAGTTCAACTATTCAAAATAACCAGGAAACAAATATAATAAAACATTAAATATTCATTAATTGGTTGCAGTCTCACTCTGTTCACTCTCGGTCTTCATTTTTTGCCTATTCCTCCAAGCTGTCATATATGTATGAGGGTGTATGGGTAAGAATCCAGATAGACCTAAAAACAATACAGTATTTTTAATCCAAAAATAATGTCTAAACTATGGTGTACAGAGTGATAATTATAGAATTCAATTTTAAATAGATTTTTTTTATGTAATTACTTATAGACAGGGTTATTATGTTTAAAACAATTGTTTTAAACATGTTGTTCATTGTTTAAAACAAAAACATATTTTTAAAACAATGAACAAAATGTTTAAAACAAAAACATATTTTTAAAACAGTGTAAAATCAAAGTGAATATTGTGTTTTTTTTGGTTTATTATTAATAATAAATAATAATAGATATATTATCTTTCAGAAAAGTATTAAATTATATCTATTACCTTCTTTCATTTTAATTTTTTTTTTAATTTTATTGAATAAATTACCAAATTTAAAATGATTTTACTTAATAGTTAATATTATATACATAATATAATGTCCGCATAAAACATCCATTCAGAAAATATTTCAAATACTTTTTAGATTTAAAATAAGTAATAAATAAACAGTGAAACGTATACTAGTACACGGCATAATGGTATATAAGTAAATTACATATTAATTTCAAATTAAGTTATTTAAAATAAATTGTGTCTTAAACAGAAAAAAACAGTTTAAAAAATACACCAACTCTGCCTATAACCATGGTTGAATAAAGTGACATTGAAAATAAACGTGAAAAAAATGTTCAATTTTTATTTGATAATTATTATTATTAGTTAATAAGTTTATGAGGTAATAAAATAATTTAAAACAAATTGAAAAATTTATAATTAGGTACCTATCTACTTAATGAACCTATCTTTATTGAAATTACTATTTAGTGCCAAACAATTTTTTTTAGGAATTTTCTACTTGACAAAATATTATTTTATACCTTTTTTTTTTTTATACATTTTCATTTCAATATGTAAATAATGTGATACATTTTTGAATTTTCAAAATATTCACAAATATGCTATAACCATTAAATATGCAGTACCATACATATACACAAATATTATGATTTGTAAAGATTAATGACCGAAATCCAAAAATGTAAAAAGGAAAAAGTATACAACTGCATACAAATCTGAGCTCTAGTTATACGTGTTGACTAAGTAGTAAGTAGGTACAAAAATGTATTGTAATTATTCAAAGGTGTTATGTAACAAAATCTAATTCCTGTGTATTGGTTATAGTTTCAAATTTAGTACAATATTACCTATAGTAATGGATAAATTTCTTTTTCATTAAAAAACAATTAAAACTCAAGATTTATCACTACATAAATAGCGTACACATATAAATGTTATCACATTTAATTTGTGTATAACTAAATATTGATGGTACATAACAATCTCAAAAAGTGAGTATTCATTTTTTAACTGCACTTTTGGTAATTAAATCCATACACATACCTAATAATTCGGCGACTGGATTGGTCAAACGTGCTTTCTTGGCCATCCAGTATTTGATCCTTTCCAAATTGAAGCTGACCAGTTTTTCTCCATTATGGTTTTCCATAGGATCATACGTACCAAGCTGTTCAATTGGATGGGCTTTGCAATCACGTCGTTGCTAAGACGTGATAATTTATGTTTAAATATTGTAAACTAAGTGTTTATAGTACAAAATTGTTATACTTACAAGCACAACTACTATGTGGTAAAAAGGCCTATTTGTACAGCCATATCTGGCCAAGCGTATGGACTTTTTGGCCTTTTCAAAATCGTCACCGCCACCACTGGACGGCATCAGTTTCTTCAACAATCGATACGCTCTCATCGTATTTAACTTTAACAAAATAATTTTAAATTGTTGATTGAATGTATGCAGGTACACAATGTGTGTTTGTATTTGTTTACTGAATATAATAATATAAATATAATATAATGATCAATTACATTACAACAATAACTTATGTATTTTATTTTTATTCTAATAGTTTTTAGTAGCCTTTTGAACAAAAAAATACAGTTTACTTAAAGTTAACAAATCATAATAATAAGTACCTACATTAAATTAAATAGATAAATGTAAAAGAGGAATTCATATTATTAATGATTAATTAGCTAGTTAGCTCATTAACTAAATCATTTAAGATGCGTAATATAGGAATGTAGCTGGGGACTGGACTACTCTAAAGACTTATACAAACAACTTTTTTTTTATAATAAAATAAAATTCTACAGAAAGTTCTACCTAAATTTTGTAGACCACAGGACAGAAAAATGTAAGACTAAACACTGTTCCAATCTTTTCAAGTACCTAATACGTTTTGTGAAAATTAAAAATTGCAATTTCGTTTTCAATAAAATATAATATAAATATGTAGTCTACTTTTACTTACATTTGAATAAATTTGTTGAGCGATGTCTTAGAATACTCAGAAATAAAGTGAAAACTAAAATATATTCAACAAACCTGTGGGTGAGTAATTCACACAATTCGGTATTTCGGTTCTAAATTTCTGATTCTCCAAAAGCTTTCATTCAATTATAAAGATACGAGAATATGACCGATAGGCGATAATAAATTGCGATAACCTAAAATGCCGAAAAAATTTGATAAAAATCTCATTTTCTTGATTACCTTCCACGGCTTTAGGTAGTACCACGATTAAAGATATACAGGTTGCACATCGCCCTATAGTAAACCGCTTCCAGACTGATTTACAAAGTGACTATAAAAATCAGCTGTTAATAATTAACTAGTGGCGCTTAATGTCAACACTCAACCATATGTGTCGACATTTAGAACTAATTTTACACCTATATATCTATAATCGGTTAATTGTAATACTGCCGCTTGGAGCGCCACTGGTTAATTATTGGTAGTCATTTCGTATTTCACCTTATCAGTAGTCGATGTGCAACCTGTATATCTTTAATCGTGGTACTACCCACGATTTAAGATAGACTGGTTGCGCGTCGAACGAAAAAAAGTGGAATGAGAAAGCGCTTACAAAAACTTACTGGCACATAACGCGATCTAGCGGTAATATTCATAATCTATAGTATATTATTGTTTTAATAATAATTCCTTTCTGAACGGAATAAGCTCCACGGTTTTTTTATTTCACAAAATCGCTTTTTAATTTTTAATTATCAAATAAACCTTGATTAGTTGATTATTATTTAGATTAAACAGTCCTAATGACTAGTTGAATGTCGAATGACATTAATTTAAACAGTATTAAATGATTGAGTTATAGATTTAATATTTAACACAGTGTATATATTATATTTAAATTTAAATTTTTAAAATGTCTTATCATAACTATTGTTGTATTCGTTTTTTTTATTAGAAATAAACAATCTATACCTACAAGTAATGTACAATAAGCTTATGTGCTGAGAGAAGACAGGACGTGGACAATTGAATAAGAAACCGCCCACTGGCAGTACAGTGGTGCATTGGAGAGTTGTCGAAGAGCTAGGTTTTGGAATACTTGTATTTTATTGGTATTGGATTTTTTTGCTGAACCCCAGAGCTGTATGCCATAAGTCCAAATAGGTTTCAGGAGGGTTTTGTAAATTAGAAGTTTAACTTTTAGATTGGTATTATTATTTCTTGATATTAGAGGATTAATTAATTAAATATATTTTTAAGATTTCAGTATTTCACAAGTATTATTATTATTATAAATTCTTAATCACTTACTTATCCAACTAATTTAAATTGCATATGTCATGTTTATTCTTTTTGTGTTAGTTGTAATTTACTATTTAAGTATCTAATTAAATTAATATAATATATAACGAATTTATTTGGTTGATTTATTTTAAAAAAGATTTCCTATAAAAATGTGTTGTAAATATGTACCTAGTTAGTATGTAATAAAATTAAACAACGTTAATATTGTAGTTCGTAGAATAGCAAATGGTTGACAATGTGCAAAGACCTAAAGTGGAAGAGACACTCAGTGAATAATATTGAGGTTTGAGATACCTAGAGAGATTAAAAATAAGTTAACAATGGTCATAATTAAAATCATTGCAAAATAAAATTACTGTTTTAGCACGATTTAGTAAAACTTATAGGCGTCAACGCTAGATGGCACTTACTGTCAGTCAGTTTATGTTAGTACATTGCATAGTCACTTGGTCAGTAAGCTTAATTACATACGTCGATGCGCAACCTGTCTATCTTAAACCGTGGGTAGTACTATCTTAAACCGTGCTATTACCACAGTTCTGTGCTATTACCACAGATATAAAATACTAGATAGCTAACAAGGCATCACGATTATAAAGAACTTTATAAAGTTCTTTATAATCGTGCAAGGCATCGAACATTGAAGTTATCCGCCATATGCGTGTAGGTCAATGTTTACGTAATTGTCTTATCAATACGACATGATAACAATCTGATGGTCAAAATACTTTAATAGTTTAATATCTGACGATGAAAAAATTGAATAAGGATAATATTATGTGTTTTCATAATAAAGCACATTTACATTATTTTCATTATTTTCACTAAATCATTAATAGATTGTAAAGAATATGATAAACAACACGGGTAAATCAAAACTTGGGCTTAATTTCGGTATGTCAGTTTTTAAGATAGAAAAAAACGCTTAAAGTCAAAGTCGCTAAAAATGTTGAAAGAGTTGAAAATGTCCTAGATTCCCTAGAGCAGGGTTTCTTAAACTGTGTTCCACGGAACCCCAGGGTTCTGCAGTGATCACTTCAGGGTTCAGAGAAACTTAAGTGCTTTTTTACAACATTTTTATTTGATATCTGTGTTAAATGTTGGTGCGTTTCAAAAGATGAATATTCTCAATTGTCACAAAGGGCCGTGTGGCGTGTTGGCACTTTTACCATTTGTAATAGCACTTATATGTGTGAAACAGGGTTTGCCCACCTATACCTATGTACATAGGTACTTATAAACTAACAAAAACAAAATACCGCAACAGACTTGATGCCGAACCTAATATGAGAATACGACTTTCATCAATAAAACCCAATATTAAACGTGGTATATGCGATAACGCCCTAGATAAAGTATAGACAATAGACATATGTGGTCACTGGTCAGACATATGAAAAAAAAGCCTCCTTGCAATATAATAATCGAGCACAATTACTGGCCGCAGGGCTCTTCTGAACTATTGTGGCGTCTATTAAAATATTACAATATTATATAGAATAAATTCCCAAGCATCATGTTTACTCCCATTTTTTCATTGTAATTATTTATAGTTGATTTACTCAAATTTTTGGAATTATTAGAGATATTAATACCGTAATTAAAAACACGCGTCTTACTTAAACAATTTAATAGGAGTGTCGTGGGATGACACCAATTTTTTTTTCAGATAAAAATCGATCATTTTTTATTATAAATTGTTAATCAGAAATATTTTTAATAATTTTGAACAATCTAAATCGACATTTTTTCAACACAAAGTTAAAAAACTAATGTCCGTATGCATTAATTATAGTCAATGTATGTGTCACATAACACATAGTTTAACATGTCTTATGTGACACAGAAATTTACTAATATGTGAGTTTCTTGGACATAACATCATCAATAGCTTTTTTTAATGACCGAGGAGAATAATTTGATAGTTCAACCTCTTATTTTTTTTGGTGATTTCCCATTTTTAGTCTAAATAAAAAAAAAATATTTACATATCATATAGGCACCTAATTAAATTTTTTTTTTACATCACTTTTAAAATTTTAGATAAGAATAAAAACATTGATATAGAGATTTTTTTAAATTATAAATTAGGACTGAAGCTGTATTGACTATCGAATGATAACTTCTAACATTTTTCAAAGCACTAATATCAGTGGCGTCATTTCAGTTTTCAATAGAGGGGAGCAAAGGTTTTGACCGGCCCGAATAGGTAAAAAAAAAACCGCTCGCTTCGCTCGTTATATTATCTACATTTTTTTATGCAACCCTTTTTATTAACTAGGTAATATCATTTTAGATAGAAGGTGGCAGATATTTTATAAAAAACAATTGTACACCTACACCAATTAAAACTTAAAAGCCTACAAACATAATATAGCAATATTTATTGATAAACAAAAATATTAGTAGCTTATTAAAGGATATCTTCTTTTTTTTTTATTTTATGAAAATATATCAACTGCATCATCTATAAATCAATTTTACCTGATTCATCACTTATCACCTATACTCTATATGTATACGATATATTTTCAAACTAATATTATTTTAAATTATAATATTTATTTTTTTTTATTGCTTGCTTAGTGCTTACTGGTTTAAGTTTCGTATTTTTATTAAACATACCAGAAATTGTTTTCGATTCTTGAGCGGTTTGCGGTAATTTTATATTTTTAACCGCACCACCCATTTACTTTTTTATAAGTCATATTTTGCTCAAATTGAAAGATTAATGTAAACACGCGTCACGAAAAAATAAATTTTAATTTAGGTAGGATAAGGTTCACTACAGTGCCAGATTGACCCGGCGAGTTACCGATGTAAAACTCAGCGGGCCGCGACAATTTTGGGCCGTTCAAGTCATGAGGGGCCGTATTGACTAAAAATATGTTAAAAGTTAAAAGTTGAAGAAATGGAGACTATAAAAGTATAAAATAAAATGACTATGCACGGAATAAGAGCGTACCCAAGTGCCGCCAGTTTTTAAGTGGGTTGGTAAAGTACGGAAAACTCGGTGGGCCGAATTTGTCCAACCCGGCCCTGGGTACAGAACACAATACGCAGAATAGTTGAATAGTTTACCATACACGACTGTCGCAACTCGTAAGTAAACTCGAAAGTCTGATATC